AGATTTATCACAGTGAGGAAATTTGCCTCTCCTATAATAAATGTGCTTGAGTCAGTTTGCCTGGATTTTTTTTTTTGTTTTGTACTAAAAGTTTACATTTTATATTTAGCTTATCAAATTCTTATGCTAGAAATCAGTTTGATAAGATAGAAAAATAAACATTCAGCTTAGATGTTAGTGAGGGGAAATAATCAGATAATCTCAAAACTTTCCAAAACATTGTTTCTTTGATCCTTCTCATGGATTTTCTAAAAATGCTAATTTCTCTTCTTACATCTTTTTACACTGTACTGGATATACTAATAAGCAGTGGAATAAAGACAGACAAAAATGGAACAAAATGAAGATTTTCCCACTACCAGGGGACAGGTTATACCTTTCAATTTACTGACCATAGTATTAAATAGTAATTATTAATGTGCAATGGTTCTGAATTATTTTCTCTTTTCTTCCCTAAGGGTTATTGTTTTCTATTTGTTAAGGACCAAGAATATAGTAATTTTCTCACTTACTTTTAGGTAGAGTTTTAGCTTGAATACAGATTCTACGTTGCATATAGGCTTTTCATTTTCTCTTAGTAATGAGCTTGGTGGCATAGATAAATAAGATTTAACTCTGCGAAACCAGGTGCAATCACGTGTACTTGTAGTCCTGGTTACCAGAGGCAGGTGGTGACCAGGACAGGGCCTTTCTGCACAGCCCAGGCCAATCACTGACTCCTGGCTGACTGCACAGGGCAGTGAAGCCGCAGCCCAAGGAGATGCAGCTGTGTGGGGCACTGATGGGACCACACGCCATTTTATGATAATCCGTATTTTAAGGAACAGAAAGATCTTGTCTGTGTTGCCTGTAGTTAAAATTTAGACTAGCACCATACATATTTTACAGTATACACCTTCACATTCAATCAGCTTTTGGCCAGATTCTGTATTTTTAAATATTTCCATGTACTAAGACAGTGATAGGGGCGTAGCCTAATGACTAACATTGGCACAGAAATTAAAAGGTTATCTTTTCATGTAAAGTCAAGAAACATTTTTATTACTTTGACATTTTAAATGGTAACTGTTTATTATTAACTGTCTTTTTAGTTCTCTGTGTGTGTGTGTGTGTGTGTGTGTGTTTGTGTGCGCGCGCGCGCTGTATGTTTAAGATGGGGTCTCTCCAGATTTCCTGAACTTGTCTTTGAGTCTTGGGCTCATGCTGTCCTCCTGCCTCAGCCTCCTGAGTAACTGGACCACATATGTGTTCTACCACATCTGGCATCTTTTTATGGGTAAAGAGCAAAGAGGAAGAAATGCAGGCTGACCATGTTTGTTCACAATTCACGTAGAATCCGTTGTTTTCATAAGTAATACACAGGAAAAAACAGACTTTAGAGAAGTAGTACTGTTTGTCTTTTTGATACAGGGTCTCGCTATGCAGTTCAGGCTGGCCTTGAGCTCACTTTGTGTAGCCCAGGCTGGTCTCGAAACAATCCTCCTGCCTCAGCTGGGATTACAGATGTGAGCCGCCACACCCAGCAGAGACGTAGTGGGATTTACTGTGTCCCTGGTAATTACCTGTACACTTAATGTATAATATCTGTTTGTGTAACTTTATATAGATTAATTCTCCTCTTTTTTCATATATTGAATCAACTTTTTAAATTTTATGTTAAAGAGGAAAAAACAATAAAAACAAAGATACATAATTTCAAAAACAAGATAATAGGAAATTGACATTGGTTAATAGATCACATATTATCTTCAAAGTAGTTGCTCAGATTTAAATCAGTTTTTTAACTTCTTTACACAGCCAGGCATGGTGACACACATCTGTTATCCAGACTCTTGAGTGACAGAGGCAGGAGGATTGTAAGCTCACACCTGGCTTGGGCGATTTAGTGAGATTCCACCTCAGAATAAAAAGGGCTGGGGATATGCCTCAGTGTGAAGGCTCTGGGTTCAACTCCCAGTAACCTCCTCTCAAAAAAAGACTTTCCTCCTACTGTCTTCATGGAGGTTGAAAGTACGTGGTCACCATGCTCCTCAGAAAGAGGCTTTGTTTACTCATACACTGTTACACTTGCTTCTCACGTTTTTTTCCTATCTAGGCCAAACATTTCCATTTGCTTTAGCTTTTTATATAAGTTTTATTTTCAAATACTGAAAACAGATGCATGCTGTTTTCTGTCATACTTTCTCTAAAGTCTTTAATGTGGTGAAGAGCAGAATTGTATATATTTTATTGTAACTGTCTTAGGGAGGTTATGGTCAGCCCTGAGCAGCACAGGAAGAGTACCTTCCGTTCCTGAGACACTTAGTCAGCTGTCCTCTGCAGGGTGTGTTACCAGGGAAGTGATTCCATTGCTGAAGTGTCAGTTACTCTTTGCAAAACTTTTTTTGGATGCTTGGAGTAAATTATTTCTTAATGTAGAACACAGAGAAACTTGAGTAATTAGACATTATTTTTATTTATTTATTTATTGGTACTGGGAATTGAACTCACAGCCTTGCACTTGCAGGCAGGTGCTTTTGCCACTGAGCTAAATCCCCAGCCCTATTTTAATTTATTCAGTAAATATTTATTGAGCATCTGTTGTGTGCCAGACCTTCAAACCACGGACGGTAAAGCACTGAGCTAAGCAGAATCCTTTACATCTATTAAAAAACTACATACTTTACAACATACACCTTTGTAATAATAGTGAATTAATGAATAAATAAAGCCAGAGTGATAGGGCCAGAAGCAGTGATGTGGGAGAAGGGTTTAGGAGCACACGACATGGGACAGGGTTCAGTTTTATGGAAACATAATCTCATGCCATTTTAAGACTTGAGCTCTGCAGGTCACTGTGTCTCTGCCACTCGTCTGAGCACACGTTTCCATAGGGGTCAGCGTCTCTTCAGTGGTTCTGAGCTGGCCACATAACCGCGTTTTGTGTTAACCTTAACTGAACACTTCATGCTCACCGTGTCAGCTAAATGACGTCAATGAAAAAGGTTTAAGAAATCATGTGTGGTGTTTGTGAACGACACGCCTTCCCACTGTGTATGTGGTGCGTCCCCAAAGGAAGACTCCGTTAAATCGTGGGCACGGTATTTCCGACGCAGCTCTTCTGAGCACAGGCTGTGTTTGGCACGGAACCTGGCCTGCCTTGCCGTGGAATCTTTCTTCCCACTGAACTAAGATACCAGGCACCGGCCTGTGCCTTGCACCCTCTTCATCCTGGGACACGAGTCGCCTTTCTGAAAGGCCCCCTCTTCTCTTCCTGGCTTATCTGGAATTGAGCTCAAGGCAGGGTGCAAATGGTAGGGCTCCCTCAAAGTTTTTCTTGCGGGCTCATTGAACAGGGCTGTGGCCCTTTGCTTGGTGTCTCCTGCATTCGTAGTCAGTGCCACATGAATTTTGTGTGTACACTTTATGTTTTCAGTTCTATCTGACCTCTCTGACTGGTAAGTGGGCTTTTTGGAACAGTACAATCAGGGTATTGGGCTTCGTTCTTTTAGACCTTTTGCATATTTGTATCCCAAAGCAAAATCACCCATATTGCTGGTCAATATGAAAATTATCCATAATTGACATCTATTTGCTTGTTATATCCTTAATGTACAACAAAAACAAAGTTAGGTAGTAATAGGCCGGCTCACTGTCATTCCCTTTGTACAGCTGAGCGATGGTGTATCAGACAAAACCATGTTTACTCAAGTGCCAGCGCTCTTGTTAGCCTTAACATATTATTAATTCATAGTGATAAAACTTTGCTGTCTTGTGGTGAATGATAGGGCTCACATCTGTAATGCTCTACATGCTGTAAGGTCCACATTTGATGTAATTTTTTTTCTTTACTTCCCTTCTATGGCCTGACTCCCTGAAGAGATGATTTAATGACTATTTCTACTTTGGGGTCTGATCTTCCCTTTTTATCTTTAGGGTGCTAAGCTGACATGTTTAATAATTAATAAAGAGGGGCTGGGGGTTTAGCTCAGCGGCATAAGCGCCTGCCTTGCAAGCAGGCAGTCGTGAGTTTGATCCCCGGTACCAATAAAAAGGAAAAAGACAAAAAAAATAATAATTAATAAAGGAAGATACATTTTGGGCTAATCTCATGCCTTTCGTAGCTATTAGGGTACATTCAAAAGGAAAAAAAACTTTATAGTTATTTTTTTCCTGAAAGTAAGTGTGATGGTGGCAGATTACCAACACTCCTTTTCATGCTGACTGTGGTGAAAGGTGTTTACTCTGCAGTGGCTTTTAGGCTGCTTGACGCTTGTTAAACAAGAGGCTGCTCACCCTTCTAGCTCACCTGCTGCGGTGTGCACACTCCTGCCCCAGCCCTGCACTTACATAGTTCGGCTTACTTCCAGGTATGGCTAGGATACGCTTTCAGTTTAAATTTTTCACACCATAGTTTTATTGAAAGACTTGACATTTTTCTTTTCTTTTTAAATTGTTGACACACTGCCCCTTCGTATCCCTGTTTGTGTTTAAGGAACCCTAGAGGTAACATTGAGGTGTAGTCCACTGAAGAAGGGACATGTTGCTGACTGGTGTGAACTGCAAAATCATCTTTTTAGATTATACACTCTGTAGGCATTGTCAGTATTTTCTAGATCCTGTAATTCAGCATCTTTCAGTGAGTAATACAATGCAGTGAATCTCATAGTTCAGTGGCTTAGAAGACCAAACTGTAAATATGTAGTTTTACTTTGTTTTGTTTTGTTTTTTGTCTTTTTGAGACAGGATCACACTATGCATTTCAGGCTGGCCTTGGGCTCACTTTGTACCCCAGACTGGTTTTGAACTTGCAGTGATCCTCCTGCCTTAGCTTCCTGAGTGCTGGGATTACAGAAGTGTGCCACCATTTTTAAAAACTATTTACCAACTCAGTATTTTTTGTCATGAGATCAGAAATCTCCCTGTTAATTTGGCATGGAAGTGAATTTTTTATATGAAGTAGAATTTATGGTAGAATATTACAGATATCACCTTAGCTTTTATTTGACTTTCTTTCATAGTTGGTGTATGATTTCTTCTTGAGATTTTTGGAGAGTCCTGATTTCCAGCCTAGTATTGCAAAGCGATACATTGATCAGAAATTTGTACAACAGGTAAGAAACTCTTATGTCTTAAATTTTCTTAAATTTATCTTATCAGTGATTTATGAATTCATGATTAAAATTTGGTTCAAAACTTGGTTTATTTGAGTATGATACCACTTAACATTCTTGCTAGACAGTTATTATAAAAATGTGAAATAGCATTGAGAATACAAAAGTATTTTCATCAGGAGTGAGCTTCTGACTGAGTCCTAAATTCCCATAAAGATCATTCTAGCTAGTTTTTCTGCAGTATCATAACTAAGAAAACTTAGTCTAACCATGAAATCTGAAGATGAAGTTTGTTTTAAATTTTTAAATCTTTGAAATTGAATTTGATGTGTTTCAAGCATTAGAACTTTGGACTAACAGAGTGGAGTGAAGAAAGAAATTAAATCATGTCAAGAATTTGGGCTTTATTTAATTTGAGGACTTTGCGGGGGGGGGGGGAGGAGGAAAAAAAAAATTGGGGCTTTAGGCTCCTTCCTAGCAGAAAGCATCTGTTCCCGTCCCACCTTTTCCCTGCCACCTAAATTCCTAGACCACCTGTAAAATAGGATCATTAAGGAGAAAAAGAGGTAGAGAGAAAAACATGCAATAGGTGTTCTTCTTTCTTTTCATAAAGTGGTTATTAGCTCTGATTTTTAGAACCTACATACTCATAATTTTTGAACAGTTTGGAGCCCTCTTTTTAAATATTTGGATTTGCCTCGCACTAAACAAAATTATGAAGCAGACTGAATCTTTCTAGACCCATTTTTCTCTCTTGATGTACTTATTGGTGTGTAAAACTCGTGAAGAATTCGTCGCTGAAGCCAGTTTTAAAATCATTTCAAGGACTTTTTCTGTCTTTCAGACCACCTTGTGTGCTTACTGTGGATAAGATTCCACAAACAGGAGTTTAACATATTTGGAGCTCATTTTTGTCATTCATAACTACCCTAGCCTTTGTGATCGTTGCTGTGGAATATTGATAAATGCAGGATATCGTTAGTTTTATAAAACTATTAGGTGTATGTTAGCAATAGAATATAATCTCTGTCAAGAGTAAAAATCCATAAATGGAGATGTGTAATTAGGTAATTCAAATGAATGCCCGTTGCCTTGTGTGGTTCTCATGTGGGAGATGCCCAGGAACTCCTGTGGTGCCACATTAAACTGCGTTTCAGACAGTAGCAGGCTAGGGAGAACCTTTAGTGCTTTCTTAGTCTGGAGATTGAGGTACTGGATTTTTCTGTGGATTTGAGGGAAGCACGCGGTCCAGAATTTGCTTCTTGGTACCAAAAACAAAGACCAAAAAGCATTAAACAGCTCTTACGTTTAACTCTCTAAAAACTATAAGCTATGATTAGCCTCAGAAGTTGGTTAGAATTCTAAAATCAGTGGCAAGGCAAAGAAAAAGGTCCTGTTTTTGAAATGTTTAGACTATTACTTATGCCATTTTGAAAGAAATGGAGGTTGGGGAAAAGTAATACTCCCCAGGCTTTTCTTTGGCTTCATTTACTTAGCAAGCCAATCTCACAAGGCCGAATCCTGAAACCAGTTTTTAATCATGGCTAATCTTCATATCAAAATTAGAATAAAGTGAAGTTTTAGCTCGATTATTTTTTAAAAGTAATTTCTCAGATTTTTTTTAAAGCTCCTGGAGCTTTTTGATAGTGAAGATCCCAGAGAGCGCGACTTCCTGAAGACCGTTCTGCACCGAATTTACGGGAAATTTCTTGGATTAAGAGCATTTATCAGAAAACAGATTAACAACATTTTCCTCAGGTAAATTAATCATATATTCATTTGTAGCATTTTTCTTTTTTCTCCTGTACACCTCTTAGTTTAGCGTTAATTTTCAGTATTTGAAATCCATGAGTGTGAGTTACTTATAGTTGATACTGTGGATATCGATTGCAAACTTTTTAGAAACTTGTAACTGACTTTGTGTCTTAAGTGGACAGTGTTAATGAGGACGATTTTTGATGCCATGATTCCTTTAGTTAAGATTCATTAAGAGGGGGCTGGGGATTTAGCTCAGCGGCATAAGTGCCTGCCTTGCAAGCAAGCAGTCGTGAGTTCGATCCCTGGTACCGATAAAAAGGAAAAAGACAGGCTGGGGATTTAGCTCAGCGGCATAAGCGCCTGCCTTGCAAGCAGGCAGTCGTGAGTTCGATCCCTGGTACCGAAAAAGACCAAAAAAAAAAAAAAAAAAAGGAAAAAGACAAAAAAAAAGATTCATTAAGAGGATAATTTATCAAGTCCTCTGTTTGAGCCTTATGTTTACAATTGTTTCTGTAAGTATTCCTTATACCAGCAGCTCTTGGGGTACTTCTTTAAATTTTCTGACAAGGCTAATTAAGATTTTTTAAATATTTGACTTAAGTCAGAAGCTTTCACATTAGTGTCCATATTTGGAGTTTGTCTGAATTAACTGAAGACCTGGCAAAATGAGGCTGGCGCCCCTGTTGCTGCAGCCGGGAGAGCGGAGTGCCAGCTGCCTTTCTCCTCTAGTTCTCTGCTGTCGTCTCCTCAGTCCATGTCAGCTGTGTATGACACAGCCTTGTTGGAGTTTATGATCCAGGCATTAAAGAAGATCCTAGTGTTGGGAAGCTGAGCGGCCTAAGCGTGTGAGGTTAGAGCCATTCTGAGCAAAGGTGGCGGATACAGCTCCTTTCTTCGTGGATTTTCTGTCAGTGAAGAGTTCCTACTTTGAAAAGCATCTATTTGAGAAAACATGTATATCCATTCCCAGGGGAAATGAGACTGTTAAATTATATAAGAAGTGCATATTTTTGTTAAGATTCGTACGAATTAAATGATTTAGGACAAAATGTGAAACGTGCCTGTGTGTTTTCTACTGCTGCCTTTGGGCTGGTTTCTTTATCTTCCTGCCTTTTTCTTAGTTTTCTTACAGTTGATTTTATTACATCTACCTTTATTTTAAATTCAGGTTCATATATGAAACAGAACATTTCAATGGTGTTGCTGAACTCCTTGAAATTCTAGGAAGGTAAGTCAGATTTTGTGTTCTTTTAAAAGAGTAAGTAATTTTGAATATTGCTTATGTACTAAAGGAGCAGATTGAAGAAATTATTTCGTGTTTTAGAATTTAAGTCTAGAAACAATGCAAGAGGCCCTGGCTCAACAATAAACAAACATTAGAACACAAGACTGGGGTTCTCAAATGTTACTATAGGTTTTAGGGGTCGGCATATTGGAATCAGTATTGCCCTTCAAGATCTTTGTGTCAGAGCCCTGTGTGTTTTATACCTGACCTCACTACAGTGCGGCGGGAATTTGCAATTTTGATTCAAAAGCAGTATGTGATAAGCTGCGTGAACCCTTATTAGAGGTACAAGGATCCACACCCACATGTGGACAGGTCCTGATGCATCAGTTCTTTTTGAAAGAATCGTCACTTTTGGTTTTAGTTTGCATGGATGTATTGCCTTCTTTATTCTCTACATACAGTGTAGTATTAACTTCAGAAGATTTAAGACCCTGTGTTACTGTCTAGAGAATTATTTTAATCTACTTTATTATTTAGAAAATTACTGTGGTAAGAACTACTTAATTTCAGATTATCCAGCAAAGTAAGAGAAACAATCCATTTACTTCAGAAAATAATGAAAATCTGTCCATATTGGTGACACTGACTCGCCTGTAGCTTTAGGGAGAAAAATAAAGGCAACAGTGGGTAGTCTTTCTAGGAAGTACAAATTATTTTCTTTGGCTTTAGTTGCCAGTGCTCATTTTCTTTTGAGATCACTGAGTGATTTACAGGAACTAGTGGTAAACAGTAACAGCCTCTCTGAAGTAGTTTGAAAATGAACAGTCACGCGTCCCAGGACTGGTCAGAGCCCTGATCCTCATGTACTGGTGGATGAATGTTAGGGTTTAGAAGCAAAGTAGTAACCACTTAATACTTCCCCTGCCTTTTTTTCCCCTCCAGTATTATCAATGGCTTTGCGTTGCCACTGAAAGCAGAACATAAACAATTTCTAATGAAGGTTCTTATTCCTATGCATACTGCGAAAGGATTAGCTTTGTTTCATGCACAGGTAAGTGTCAGAAATTTCAAAGGAACGCTATGAAGGCAGAGAAGTTGAGAAATACTGGAGGATGGTATTATGATTAAACAGTTTGCTTTCTAAATTGCCCAAAGCACATGTTTATTTGAAGGTTTAAGTATTATATTTACCTATTAAGTAAGACCAGGGACTTTAAGTGTAGATACAGAAGAGATATCACTGAATTTGCTTATGTACTGATCCAGACCTAATCCGCTGTGTGACTTTGAATAAATCCCCCATGTCTGCAGTGCTCTTCTGTTCATTAACATCCTAATTAGAAAGCCTCTGGTCACCTTTATTAGTATTTACAGAATAATAGATCAGCATAGGCATGCATGGGGAAGTACGCTGAAGACTTACCTGGTGGACTGCATACTCAGAGATTGCTGCCACAATGGGAACCTGACACCCTGGGAGGCGGAGCCAGGAGGGCTCAAGTGCAAGCCCAGCCGGGGCAACCTAGCCGCCTGGCCTCTCAAAGTTAACAAAGGGCTAGGAGTGTAGCTCTGGGCCATGCCCTGGGATCAGTCCCCAGTAGACACCCCTTCCCCAAAAAGGCTAAACAAAGAACAGTCTTTAAATTAGAAGCTACTTTCAAGATTAACAAATTACACGGTTGTGAGTTTACTCTTTTTATACATTGAACTAAACTAAAATTTGTCAGAATAGTCTTTTTGTTGGTTAAACATGAAAAAGACTTGGCTCTTTAAGCTGTATTTCACTCAGTAATATTTAGTGTTTATAAACTTTTCCTTCCCGTTTAGCTCGCTTACTGTGTTGTACAGTTCCTGGAGAAAGATACAACACTGACAGAGCCGGTAAGTGTTCTGCTAGTGTTCACCCCTGTGTGTCTGGAGTACTAACGCACTCATAGTATTTCCCTGTAGCTTTCAATACAGTCTCGTTTCCTGGGAGAATGTGGGGTTAACCCACCTTCAGAGAACAGAGCTGGGAGGGGAGGAGGCTTCTGAGTTACTGGGTGTGTCAGGAGTGACCAGTAACACTGGTAGAGAGAGGTAGAAGTGTGTGATGATTGGATCTGATGGCACAGTGAATACGCAAATTCACTGGGAGTCTTTTTTTCATTAACCTTTTAGAATTAAAGTGTGTTGTAAGAGTCCCCACTTATTCCCTTAAAGCTTTTGTTTCACTTTTAGATATAGCATTTTGACTTTTATTAATGATAAACCACAAGATAGGGCTGAAAACATTTTCCTGCTTTTTGTGATTAAGATACAGACTTATAATAAAGGTTGTTTGCTGTATGAATCAACATAGCAATTTAAACTTTGGATTCTGCTGCTTATTATTTGACCATAAAATGAAAATTCAGGAGAGCAAATTATAGTTATTAGGAAAATCAGTAGCTGAAGGAAAGATGAGCTAGGCTGTCCCTGTGATGCTGGGGGAGACGTATGCTTGGTGTTTGCCTTTTATAAAAGAACAGTCTGGCTTTTTTCAGCTTTTTTTACTTTTAGGTTCACAGTTCTTTATGAAAACAGCTTTTACAGTTAAATCAGGAAAAATAGAAGCTTGATATTTACACATGAAAATATATAACCTTCTAGAGGAGATTAATAGAAGAAATCCATGATAGCTCCTCTTCGATTTGAGAAAAACACGAGTGATATCATGGTTCCTGCCTGCTCAGTAACAAACAAACAGTTTTTTTGTTTTTTTTTTTGTTTTGTTTTTTGTTTTTTTGTCTTTCTCCTTTTTATCGGTACCAGGGATTGAACTCATGACTGCCTGCTTGCAAGGCAGGCGCTTATGCCGCTGAGCTAAATCCCCAGCCCCACAAACAGTTTTAAAAGATTGTTTTAGTTCGTAATGATCTCTACAGATTTTGCAGTTTCCACCTTCCGTATTCATTCCATCGCCAGTAGACCTTATTACCAGGGTTTGACCCTTGATACCAGTCCCTGACTTAGTGGCTCACCTCAGCATTTTTCAGCCTTACAGTAGGTGTGAAAGCAGTGTGGATTTGGTAGAACCACACATTACATTTTGAGTCGGGATCCTTTTCCAAGGCCAGCTCCGTGCAGTGCAGTGCTGCGCTCTCCCAAAGCGCTGCCCTTGTCAGTGGACAGCAATCCGCCCGTCAGGCCACCAGTGCGCTCGGCTCAGTACACGTCAGCCGGAGGATGGGCGTACTGGGATACAACCCCAGCCTATGCTGAGGAGCAGAGCCCGGGACACGTGACAAGGAAGCAGCACTTTTGTTGTTTTATGATGTTCCTCTGTGCTGACTCGTGCGTTGAAATGATTGTAGTTTCTAAAGTGGAAATGACTCTGTCACTTCCGTTTGTAAAAGCAGTTGTGTGTTAGGTTGGTTCACGCATTACAAAGTGCTGAAGCACAGCGAAAGTCCTCTGACATCTTGGCTTCTAGAGATAAACACTAAGTTACTGAATACATTTCTAGACATTTTTCAAACATGTGTAATGCATAAGTAGTAGGACAGTATTTGTCACCTAAGATAATGTAGATACCGTCCTACATTAGTCTGTTTTTCATTGGCAGCATAGAATTCCACTGTGTTGGGTTACCGTTTATCAGCCCTCTGTTGTTGGACAGTTATGCAGCTTTTCTACTGTTAGGAACAGGGGCTGAGTGAAAGGTGTGTAACAAAACAAACTAAGCATGTTTAAAGCCTTCAGAACCACACACCAAGAAAGGGTGAAAACACAGAAACTAGAAACAAAAGGGAAACCGCGTGGCTGAGTACCTGTGACGGTGACATAGTCCAAGCTGTGTTCCAGCAAGGTTACCTAATCAATATTCACAAGTTAATATTTTACCCCAGAATGTAAAGGCACCTGTTTTTTTCTAGCCAGTCAGTGCTGAGTGTTGTGTTTCCAGCTCTTAACCAGATGTGATGGCTCCTGCTGTGTCCCAGAACCCTGGAGGCTGGGGCAGAGGCTCAAGCCTGGGCAGCCTATTGACTTAACAGGGGCTTCTCTCAAGATTTAAAGCAAACAAAAGCAGCCAAGGTTTAAAGTGTTTGCTCATCTCATACTGTGAATACTTTAATTTGCTATTTTATTATTATAAGGATTGAGCATCTTTTTTATATCTCATTGGTCATTTGTATTTCTGTGCCTTCTAATCTTTTTCTGTTGTGTTACAGATTTTTTTCATTCATGTGGAGTTTCTCTTTTAATTGTGAATATACTGTTTTAATCTTTGCCTCAACTATATAAAATTGTATGTCCTAAGTATATTTCTTGATGTCATGCTAAGAAAAATCTACTTCTTGAAATTTAAAAATATTCTCCAGTATATATATACAGTATTCTAGGATACACATTCCAGTTATTTTTCTAGTTACATTTTCTCGTTGTTTTCTAGTATATTCCAGGTTTACCTTTTGGTCTTACATCTTTTTTTTTTTTTTTTTTTTCTTTTTGGTCTTTTTGAGACAGGGTCTCACTCTGCTGTTCAGGCTGGCCTTGAGCCCACTTTGTAGCCCAAGCTGGTCTCTAACTCACAGCGATCCTCTTGCCTCAGCCTCCCCAGTGCTGGGATTACAAGCGTGAGCCACCACGCCAGGGTGCTCTTCCATCTTTATCTGAAGGCCTGCGTAGGGAATTAATAGAAACATAATGGGTTAAATCAACACAAATGGGTTCTCTCACAGTTCTGGAGGCCAAAAAACCAAACTCAGGGTATCAGCAGAATCACTTCAGACATACTCAGTTCTATCTACTTTTGTCGTGTGTTAACATCCATATATACATAGATCTTTCCTGTCAGTTTTTGTGCTAACACCATGTTTTAATTGCTAATAGTAGTTTGCAGGTTCTATCCCATTAATCCCCCCAAATAAACTCTTGACTATTGTTTACATATATGAATTGTAGAATGAATGTTTCTAGCTGCAAAGATAATCCAGTTGGCACTTGATTGAAAGTATATCAAATGTATAGGGTTGGCTGTGGTGGTGCACACCTGTAATTCCAGCACTTGGGAGCTGAGGCAGGAGGATCACTGCGGGTTTGAGCCCACCATGAGCTACAAAGTGAGTTCAAGGCCAGCCTAAACTGCATAGCGAGACCCTGTCTCAAAACCAAACCAAAACATTTTTATGCATATATAATGTATAAATTATAGGTTAAGTACAAGAGAAATAGATTTTGTACAATTGTTATGAAAAGCATCTTTTTATTTTCACTTCTTTACTGGTAATAAAAGTATTGACTTACATATTTTATCTGTTCATATATTGAGTTTTCTTACGCATTTTAATAATTGTTAGGTTTTTTAAACTTTAGGACATGTATAAATATTATACAGCTAGCGAGTAAGTGTGATTTTGATATTCCCTGCCATATTATTTACCGCATTCTTCTGTTACAACGGCTCCAAAGCAGTGCTCTTCCGAGTCTTCATTTGAATGAGGGAGAGTTCCTCACTCAGGGCTGGACCTGGTACTAAGTAACCAGAGGAGCTGGCGAAGCTCTCTTCCCCCAGCACTTACAAGGCCAAGATGGGTTTTTAGTTGATTTCTAAGAAACAATTAAGTAAAATGGTTGTTGATGGTTTCTAACAGATTCTTTAGTTTTACCTGAAATAGCAAATAACTGTTTAAAATTATTTTTAAAAAGTAGCTGAACCATCCTGCTATTTCTACAAGTTATACTGTAATTACCCATGTTCTGTGTACTTTTTCGGTATACTTGGGATTCAGTTTATTTCTGCATCAATATGCACTGAAATAACATGGTCCCTTTCTTGTGTTTTATTGTATTTTGGTTAGCTCCATTATGCTAGCCATGAAATTGGCTCTTTTTGTTTGCAGTACTGGGGATTGAATTCTCAGCTTCTGCATCAAGGTCCATCCCTGTCCCTTTTTTATCTTGAGGTCTTGCTAAATTGCCCTGCTGGGCTCTCTAATTTGTGATCCTTTGGCCCCAGCCTCCCACAGTGCTGGGGTTATAGGCATGCGCCACCCACGCCCAGCTGCTTTATAATGGTTTAAGTAATGGGAATTGACTGTTCTCAAGGTTCCTCCCCAAAAAACCTCCCTCGTTCACCCACCAGATTACCATCTTCCCTTGTTTTCTTAGTAACACTTACTACTATTAAATCATTTTATTACACACTTAATCACTTCTCCCCAGTAGAACATCAACTCATAGACTCATGTCAGTGTCTGGCGGCTACTAGGAACTCAGTAAATAACTCAAATGAATAAAAGCCTAAAACCAAACCAAAAAAGATGGATAAACACTTAGATACTAATGTCTGTTTATTCAGAATGAACAGTGACACATTCACAATTACTGAAACTGTCCTGGGATTGGTTTCAATCTCTCATTCATTTCCTGTTGTGCAGGTGATCAGAGGACTGCTGAAATTTTGGCCAAAAACCTGCAGTCAGAAGGAGGTAGGTTTTGTGACTAAAGCAGTGCAGCTCGAGAGAACCTGTCTCAGGCTGCGTCTGTGCAAGCCCCGCTCTGCCCTCTGCTGCGGAGTGGACACACGCAGGAGCCTGCCAGACCTTGCTTCTCCCTCCCACTGGATTTATAATTCAGTCATGCATCTGTATGGTTTCCGGTGTTAAGTGATACAATGTGTCACATTTCTTAAAAGAACTTTTTTTACCCTAGGTGATGTTTTTAGGAGAAATTGAAGAAATCTTAGATGTCATTGAGCCAACACAGTTCAAAAAAATTGAAGAACCACTTTTTAAGCAGATATCCAAATGTGTCTCCAGTTCTCATTTTCAGGTAGGATGCTTTTAGTGACATTATTCTTATTTTATAATTTCTTTTCACTTTGAATTTTGACATTTCTGAATGTCTTTTAGGTTGCAGAAAGAGCATTGTACTTCTGGAATAATGAATATATTCTTAGTTTGATTGAGGAGAACATTGATAAAATACTGCCAATAATGTTTGCCAGTTTGTACAAAATTTCCAAAGAACACTGGAACCAGTAAGTCTTTTAATGTCGTTCATATTTTTCCTGTATTCTCTTTAACCTTTCTGTCATTTGGTTTCCTTATATGAAACCTATACAGATTTGGAGCTTACACCAATGGTTAACATCACAGAGATTTTATTCTGTTGTCTCTTATATACACATAGCTTTTAGGTAGTTTGAGTATGTACACTCTAAAATTCAGGTGACTTTTGGAAACCTCCCTGATGGAGGTCAGTGGGACGAAAGCTGGGGCATCTGTTGTGCTCAGCCCCTGTGGAGGACGCCAGCCAAGACTGGCTGGGAGATGGCCGGCTGTGTGGCAGTGGCAAGCTGTCCCGTCTACACCCAGGACAGCCCCACCTCTGGAGGCCACAGTGTCCCAGTGAGGAGAGTCCAAGGCCAGGGGGCTCTGCAGAGTGAATGCTGTCTCTGTAGAACATTCTTGTCTTGTTTTCTGGTGTTCTTTCTTTCAAGTAGTGGTAATTGGATAATTTTTATCTTCTTTTAATGTTGTCACTCAGGGTTTTAAATGTGAGACTCTAGCACAGAGATGCAGGTTAGCTAGAATTTAGTGTGGTACACAGGAAGGAAGTGAATTTGGGAATCACAGCATCTCTGTCACTGCTGCTGCATGACTTCGGGCACATCACAAACCTCTTAAACATCAGCTTTCTTTAAAATGCATTCAGTGAGTAAGTCAGCACTTTGCCGGCAGTGAGGCAGCGCTGGTGCATTTTCGTTGCAGGACCATTGTAGCACTGGTGTACAATGTGCTGAAAACCCTCATGGAGATGAATGGCAAGCTGTTCGATGACCTCACCAGCTCCTATAAAGCTGAGAGACAAAGGTACCTGACATGTGCGGTGCGTTAACATTTGGTTAGCTGGCTGTGAGTGCATGCACCAGGTGTTTATGAGATCCGTCACAGCAGGCCTAGTCTGAAGGTCTCTAGGACCCAAGTCATTCCCATAAGCCAGCTGAGGCTTTTACCAGTTCATCAGGCAGGAAGGCAGAAACAGCTGTTAAAGCTGTTACATAATTTACTTCCCCTAATGGTTAGATGACAGTTTTAACGTGGATCATAAATCCTGTTTATCTCATTCAGAGCCTTAGATTTCAGCAGTATCGTAGCATCTGCATCATGAAAGTCTGTGCTGAATTTTAAAACCAGTTTATACATTTTTTTTTTTTTGTCTTTGTCCTTTTTGTCGGTACCAGGGATCGAACTCATGACTGCCTGCTTGCAAGGCAGGCATTTATGCCGCTAAGCTAAATCCCCAGCCCCTACATTTGATTTCTTATATTATGAGCATCACGTGAGCACGAGACTCTCCACCTTTTCCAACTCAATACTGTAGTTATCAGAAGGTGGTATTTTAAGGTAGGTGCCGCTCCTCTTTGGGAAGAGGAGCTGCCGACCTGCTCTGGTTCAGGGTCTAGTGACCACGTGGTTCCTCGCATGATGCACATTTTAAGAGGATAAAGGATAGGCCACATCAGCCTTTAGGAACACGGCTTTGAGAAGTTCATAGATTACTATAAAATAATCTTTTAAAAACCATTTCCTTCTCGTGTGTTTATATAAAACATAATGCCATGGGCAGTAACACTGGACCTGAATCCACTATTGAAAGATAACCAGCATTTACTTTAGTAAGAGCGTTGCTTGCTCTGTTTAGAAAAGCTGATGTGTTTCTGTCAGTCCCTACTGACTGTTTTCTTGTGTCATGCAGAGAAAGGAGCTGGCCTTTCCTCAGGGTCACCCTAGAAACTAACTCCCTGCATTATTTCTCTTCAGTAGCAGTGTTCAGGCAGGAATGGGAACGGGCACTTGATTTGAGTCACAGGAAGCAGCAAGAAGAAAGATTAGGCTCATAGGAGACTTAATCTGAGAATGTATATTTCATATAACCATTGGTTCATGTTACCTGTGTAAATCAAATCCTTTAAACAGTTGTATTGTTTTAAACCCTAACCACACAAGAACAAGCCCATGTTTTGTATCTTCGCACAGCCTTGAGAATAGTCTGGTCTGAGTTACTTAGAAATGTTTCCCTTAGAATTAAAACGAAGTAGTTGATGCAACATACAAAATGATTTGGTTATTCATTTGGTACGTGGGAGACAGAAGAGAGTTAGATGCACATGGCGGTGGGCGGTGGCTGAGGGGTGGGCAGAAGGGCGAGTCCTGAGGGCAGGGGTGCCAGCCTACCCTCGGGCTGCCCTCTGGCCTTTCTGTCCGTATGGTGGACATGAAAAGTTAACAGGAAGTCCCTCGTCCACAGCAAAGCCTGGGTACAGGTCCTGGGGGAGGGGCGCTGCCCACACCAGGACAGTGGACAGCACTGTGGCTGCTCCCAGCCGGCGGGAGGGACTGGTGAGGGGCCGCGCTGTGTTCCAAGCTGCCTGCCAGGCAGCACTTTGGCTTCCACTTCTCAAATAGTTTTTTTAAAAATAATTTCTAATTACAAAATTTTGGTTTTCTTTCTTTTTTTTTTTTTTTTTTTTACACTTTTTTTTTTTTTTCCTTTTTACCGGTACCGGGGATCGAACTCACAAAATTTTGGTTTTCTACAGAGAGAAAAAGAAGGAATTAGAACGTGAAGAATTATGGAAAAAACTAGAGGAGCTGAAGCTAAAGAAAGCTCTAGAAAAGCAGAACAGTGCTTACAACATGCACAGCCTCCTGAGCAGCGCCAGCGCCGAGTAGAGGCGGCCTGCGCCCCGTGGTGGCGCAGTGCTCACACACAGCATGGTGTCACCCGGAAAAACTGCGGAGCAACCTCATCAGTATAACACAGTACAAGCCAGTCTCTCCTGGCGACTGTAAATGAAAGCGTGTATGGACTAAACGTAGCCCTGTGCTGTACCCTGGCCACAGTATGCTGTAACCTCTGTCTAATCATCGATGTGTATTGTGTCACTTCTCAAGTTTCACAGCAATGAATGAATTTTATCATCTACGAGTGAGATAATTCTGGGAGTGGTAAGAATTATGACTTGAATTCTTTTTTGATTGTGTTGCACACAGATCAAGTAGTCTGCTCTGTATAGTTTTCCTTCTATAATGTGCTTTTCACATTACTGCAAACCTTAGTTATATCCTAGGACAGAGAGTTTCCTAAAGTAAACTAAGGCACCATCCTCCCTGCGTCTCCCAGAACCACGCGTGGCGGGACCCTCCTGCACCTTCCCACCCACCCCCCGTCAGAGGGGGGATCCTGTGCTCTGGAATGCGAGTTAAACCTTCAGTCTCCAGGCTTTTAAAGCACAAAATATGAATAAAAGCTGGGAAAGTAAACCAAAACTCCTGAGTGTTCCTCACAACACCCCTCACCTGCAGTGCCCACGGGTGAACAGAGGCACACGGTGCAGCCGGGGCCACGGCTGCCCTGGCTGCCCTGGTCCCTTCCCTCCCGGAGGCTGCAGGCAGCGCCTCTCGGTCCTCACCGCCTTGCCCGGGTCCCACAAGAGCACTGCACCGCGCCAGCCGGCACTGCCGGGCTTTGTTTAAAGGAGATGCAGCAGGCTTCCTCGTAGCACGCTGAAGGCTGACCCCGTAGAGCCCGTGTATGTTTCTACCTGGTCAGGTTTTCTCACACCTTTTCTTACCAGACTACCATTCCAGTCTCTTTAACTTGCAGTTGTGTGGAAACTGTTTTGTAATGAAAGATCTTCCTCGGGGGATTGAGCAGCATTTAATAAAGTCTATGTTTGTATTTTGCCTTACGTCGTCTTTGCTTTACTCTGCTCCTAGCGTTCGCATCCAGCAGCCAGCCCCCTTCATGCACATGCACAGCCTGGTTACACGAAATTCAGACAAACAGTAGGACGGACTCTAACTAAACACAGAAGGCCTGTGTGCTCACCGAAGACTGCTTCACAGAATGTATTCATAAACCTGCCATTTCCCTGCACGGAGCTCTGGGCTCACTGCTTCCTGTTCGGGGCAGGGAGGCCAGGCAGCAGTAGGGGTGAGATGTCACTGCACCCTGGAGCAAGAACCCAGCCCACGCCCCGAAGCACTAGGGCATCAGGAAAGTAGCCCCGCTGTGCCCTGAGGCCTTCCAGGACAGTGACAAGGCTGTTACCTGCACTCAAGTAGCAGGAACAAAGCCATTTTCACCAGGCCGAGAGTGGTTCCTCCCAGACCCCCACAGCACCCCACGTGTAGGCTCCACGTGTAGGCTCCAAACAAGCTGTCATCACACAGGGTCAGGGTAAAGGGCAGGAGGAGGGCAAGTGCTGTCCTGCTGGAGAGCAGCCAGAGTGGGCTGTGACAGGTTGCACTAATAAGTGTTATTTTTCTCTGAACAGATAAAAAGGCCCCCTTCCCGACCTAAAGCAGATGACTAGGTCTCTCACCTCCCACAGTAAACAGTGCCTTCATCAAAGCAAATTTCGTTTCAGTGCTACTTAGTAGTAAAGTGATTTGGGAGGTTCAGGGGAGGTCTGTTCCTGCTGGGGCCTCTCACGCATATTAAGCATGTGCTGTACAGAGAAACAAACCTCCAGCCTCAAGAGCAGCTTAATAAAAACCTTGTTCCATGGTTAATGTAATGGGCCTTTGTTTTGGTTTCACTGAGAATGAAACCAGCGCCTTCTGGCTGAGCTGCGTCCAGTTCCTTCTGTCCTGTTTTAAATTTTGATAGTGTTGCACTGAATTGCCCAGCTCTCCACTCCCTGCCAGGGGGCCTCCCAGAGCAGTGCTGGCATTGCCCTGAGCCTGCCACACCCAAGCTCCTGTACACTCTCATGCTTGGCTTTGCATTTGTCCTGCAGTCAGTTTTACAGAGAGACCAGGCTAAAATCTCAAGGCTTTAATATTGCTTTACACATTCACTTATAATAATTCAGCCGAAAAAAAAGCTTCCTGATGCTGTTAAACATGAGCTTACAAAAAAAAAAAAAAGCCATACTTACCCATTAAGTTATTCCTCTTTGTATCAACTAAAGCCCATTTGCAAATTCAGGAAAGGCTGCCACATCCTCTGGATGCAGTGGACATACACATAAATAATTTAAAACTTGAAGCAGACAACATGCACAGCACCTAGTGTCACAGGTGCTCACTGCCAAAGTGTCGGGGGTCACCAGGTAGCCCTTTCTGATGGTGTTGCAGGACACAGTGCCCTGCAGCCAGCTTAGTGATGAAGTTGGCCCGTCCTCTTCCTAGCCACCTGTCACTGGTCGCCGTGTGCACCCCCACACATAGTTGCCCAGCTTGGAGGCGGGGCTGTGGGTGCAGGACCCTGGTGCTCGCCGACTGGCAGATCCTCATCTTGGCACACGCGTTCCTTTCCCATTGAGCCAACCTTTATTAATCTGTTAATGAAATCATCAAGGTACACTGGCTAGGTGCCACTGTCTACTTCTCTCCTACTGCTTCTGATGCATCACTTATCTAAACTCACCTTCGTCAACACAGGCTCAGCCAGCGGGCAGGCGCTGGTCTGCCCAGTAAGAACTGCAATCCCTGCAGTGGCCGTACAGTCTCAGTCAGAGCCTGGACAACAGACGGCAAGCGTCAGCCCCAGGTCTGCCCTCCTTTGTGTACAGTGCGAGCTTCCAAAGCGGGGCCACACAGCTTGCTATGATTTTTGGAGAAAGAAAATCACTTCTCCATTTGAAAAACCATTAAAAAAAGAAAAAACTAAGGAGAAAGTGTTAGGTCTTAATTACCCTGCCAGAGCTTACTACACAGTGAACCAAATGGGAAGAAGAGCACTTCCTCACAAGTATGCAAGGCAACTCTATAAATGTTCGTCAATAACTTAAACGGCTTCCAGGTTGTCCCGGGGGTCTCTCTCTCCGGCCCGCTGGAGCGTCCCCTGGGACAGGCTGCTGCTCCCTGCTGGGTCCCTTGCTTCAAGTGCGTACAGGATTGAGGCTGATGGGGTGGAAGCGGTGAGGACTTCCGTGGGCGTGGGCAGGTCTGGGAGTCGCAGGTGTGTCAGCTTATGTGGTTTGTCGCCTGACCTCTTCTTTTGAGGTGTCGCTTCCTAATTTTGATCATCCACTTCACACTCAGCTTGGCAAACTCGGATGCTTTAAACAATGCCAAGAAGGCCCCGCAAAGAAGAGCGATTGTGTTCCAAGGATTGGCTGTGATTATCTGCGAAAGAGAAACAAGGTCACTGGCTCGCTTCACCAGACACCTTCAGGACCATCGCCACTGCCAGGAAAACACCTGGGCTGCAAACCTTGTCACTGTCCTCCGTCTACCTTTCAGGCCACAGCTGGTCCAGGAGCAGCTATGAGCCCCTCCCTGTAAAACACTGGTTCCGGGAGACAAAAATGGTTTCCTGAAAATCTCTGCAAAAATATATTTAGTACTGAGTTGTTTGTTTTTGCCTGATCCAAATATAAGCGGCTCTGCTTTGGGGTAAATTTCCCTCAAACTGCACCCTGCCCAGGAGGTGGTCAGTTCCTCTCTTCCCCTCCCAACACAGCTACCTCAGTTTCCTGCCGTCTCTGAGACTCCCAGGTCTGCTTCGGCTCCCTCTCCTGCCCATGGCACTGTCCTCCCCTCCTTGGCCCAGTCCAGACCGAGGTGCTCTGTGCTTTCTCCAGCCACCAGGCCCCTGGGCCTCCCTGGGGGCAGCAGGGCTCTCGCCCACAGGCTCCTTCCAGTCACTGGCTGGCATCAGTGATTCAAAGCAGAAGACCGCACACTTGATGCTGTGTGCTTTCCTAAGGCAGGGCACTGCGGGGGTCCACGACTGACTACTGACTGCTGACCTGCTGAGGCCTGAGAGACAGCCCCTGCAGGCACCTCACGCTCAGGGCTCCACAGAGATGGCTGCAGGTCAGCACCTGGCCAACCATGCCCCTCGCAGAGCTAAGGGACAGGGATATGACTCTCATCTCCAAGGAATTCCACCTTGGGTCCACTGTTCACGTATCTAAGCGCCATGCTGATGCCAAGACACTGTCCTAACAGCAGAGTGCCTGCCTGGCAAGCACAGGGTCCTGAGCTCAATTCTTGGCACGAGAAAAAAGAAAAACTAAAGAAATTAAAAAAAAAAAATACAGGTGTGTGATAACAGGAATGCCAGTTACCAAGGACTGGCCCACTGGGTGCCGCATTAATAATGTTCTTTTAGCAAAGCTTTCCAAGTCTCCCTCCCCTTCCCAGATTGAGAGTCTGAGCACGCGGCGTTAACTGATGCTTTAATGATCTGTACCGTTCTGCTTGGGCTGCCCACAGATAAGTACCTGTCCTACAGAGGACTGTAAGAAAGAATGACTTCTACTAGTCATCCAGACAGTAATGCTTTCTGCTTAATTTAATATCTCTATTAAGCAGCTACTCTGTGCTAGGCACTCTGCTAGATACTAGGTACATGGTGAGGGGACAGCAAGGTTCCCACCTTCCCAGAGACAAGTCTAGCAGCACTCAGTTACACGCAAATGACAGCGACGTCAGAGTCATGAGCTCCAAGCTGTTTCATACACTAAGAAGACAAGGACAGCAGGTGGACAGCCTGCGGGAAGGAGCCCGTGGACAGTGCACAGGGCACGGGCCCCAGTGATCATAAATGACACTCACGTCTTGCACTTTCTGGATGAAAGGATCTTTCCATTCGAAGACCACAAAGAACAGCTGGGCGCTCTTCTCAGCGGCCGGCCTCCGGTCATTGTAGTTAACCACGCTGGTCTAGACACAAAGGAGACAGTTACCCAGGGGCCCTCCCCTGCCTGGTCCCAGAAAGGAGGGAACAGGAAAAGAGTCCCATACTGCGGCTCTCCTGACACCAGCTCTGGAGCAGGCGGGCGGGCACCGAAAATCCTCAGTTACACAAGATCCTGAGCTGGGACCGAAGCTAACATTTTCCCATGGTTTCTCAGGTTCTCTGAGAAACATCTAGATCTGGGATGTGAAGGAGGAGTTTGGGATTGTCACTGAAACGTGTGATCAGGCATCCACACTCACTGGTAAGGGGTACATCAGGGTCACAAGTAAAAGCAATCAAAACACCAAATCTTAGAATACTTATCTTCAGAGCTGGGTATTTCAACCCTTCAAAGCTCCACGCCCAGACCCACTCAGCTAAACATCCCTACAAGCAAGCACTTGGAGGTGAACTGTGCATACTGGCATCACGACCTGGACTGGCCGTGCAGCTAACAGGACACACAGACCCAGCCAGACCAGCCCAAAGCACAGGGCCACCGTGTCATCTGCGCCTCAGCGCAGAGGGCCAAGGAATGATCCCAAACTCTGAAGCACAGGTAAGAACATCCTTGAGTTTTGTTCAAAAGAGCTCACAACTTCCAACTTGGTCAATACTGAACGGCATTAAGATTAGGGTTGCCGGTGTTTTCAGCCTTTTCGCTCAGATCACAGGTGGAGCCATTAGGAAAGCCAGGCTATATTTGAAATCCGTATGCGTGTTAGAATCAACCCTAAAAGTAGAGGAAACTACTCTGAGCATGACAGGATGTAAAGGATATCCATACTGGTATGAATCAGTAACAGCTCTCAAATACTACAATGCAGTCAAAGATAAGTTTTTATAAAAATAGGTGATAGTATATTTAACTATAATAAGCCAGTGTTGTCGACAAATCTATTGAAAATAACAAGAGAAAACATAGTAGCTACGGAAGATCATTTATATTATAGTTTTGTAAGTCTTATCCATTGCATGTTTATCTAGGAAATTGTTTCGCTGTCTTGTTATGAATTGGTTTTCCCTATAATACAGAGAAGATAGGAACAAATACTCTGAGGAAGAGACCTGAAAAACTCGAGGCTTATTTTGTAGCATTATAATATAAATTCTAGCAATCTATTGCTTGCTGATTAAAATGACTCTGGACTGGTTTCTTCAGCTCAACTTCAGCATATGCAGAGATGGGGACGGCTATCACAAAGAGAATGAGAGACGCGATGGTAGTTGGAAATGTCTTCCCTAATTTGGAACTTGAGGACCTAAAAAGACTCCATCATCCTGTAATGATTTTATTAGTTCTATAATATGCAATAAGTATAGAAAGTGGGTGAAGTTAGGGACAACTATCTGTAAGAAGCTAGAGACAGTTAGATAAGGTAGATCTCCAGTGGACTTGCTTTGAAATCTGTATTTCTTTAAATTGTTTTTTATTTTTTTTTTTTAATGTTCTGTTCTGTTTTGATATGGTTAACCTTATCCTCTTAGAGATGTAAAACAAATAGGTGGGACTGATAATCATATTACGGAGCTTTTGTTCGGCCATAGAGCAGAATGGTTTGTAGGGTCACTTTTTTGAATGTCATTCTAAATACTTTAATTCTATAACCTAAACAGCCATTTCGAAGAAGACAATTTGTAACTTATCAACTGGCAATTTCTTACCTTTTGTTTGTCTGTAATTTAGTATTATTTTTCTACCCTTTTATTCTTTAATCTCCATGTATTTTTTTTTTTTTCGTTTCCTTTTCTTTAAATAAAAAAAAAAAAAAAAAAAAAAAGGAAAGCCAGGCTAGGTGGGCTGCACCTGAACCCTAGGTAAATAAATCAACACCTCTTTCCCCAGACCCTCGGTGGGGCCAGGTGAGGGCTTGTGCAAGTGTGTAGGACACAAACCCAGGTGACCATCCCAGCTCCAGGCATATCTCCCACACCCCACGCCCAGGTGTCAAGGATCCATCAGGAGACCCCAGCCCCAGGAGACTCCTGGTGCCAAGCAAGGGGACTGAAAGCTTTCTGATCTGACTGCCCGCTACTGAAGACATCTGAACACAAATACACACACGCTTAGGGCTGCACAAGTGACAGAACACGTGCTATCACTGTACTTGTGCTGCACGGATTTGAAAGCATCCAACAACAAAACGATACAATAAACACACGAAGCCAGCCAGGATCTGCTGCCGGCTTCCCCGCAGATCATCACACACAGCTCAAGGCCCTGCTGATCCAATCTCATCCTTGCAAATAATCACTTGCTGCACCATGGGCCATGGGTGTGGCAGCCAGGCACTGGACACCAACGGACAAGAGACTGGCCTTCCCACAGGGCGCAGTGACTGTGGCTGCTTGCCCAGCTGGGCCACTAGAGAAGGCACAGATTCCTGGGGTTCCCTCTGCTCACCCTCTGGACCCTGCTCCATGACGCCACCCGACTCCAGCCGCCTACCTCTTGCCTGAACTCTACCGCCTCCCGCCCGTCCTCCTCCTTGGTCTTCACCAGTGACATCTTGACCCAGGTGCGGAAGCCCCCCGAGAACTTCCAGCTGGAGTAGGCGCTCTCGCAGGCCTGCATGAAGCCCGCCTTGTCTGGGCTTGAGGGCAGTGGAGAGAAGGGGACGCATGAGCAGGCCTGAGGGCAGCAGCTGGTGCCCCCACTGGGAGAACCCTCCACTCGCCCACCCATCCCCATGCTGTAGCAATGCATGTGTGTGCAAAGCACTCAGGACCTACAAGAAGGACTCCAGAGAAGCAGAGTCCACAGCAGCGTTCACTGGCCTCTCAGGAGAGGTTTCGGAGAACCCGGCCATGGGGACACCCACCACGTGGACCTCAGTGCAAAGCACAGGCCCAGAGTGCTTCAAAAGTCCCCCAGGAAGGAACGGGACAGACAGGCTTTAAGCAGCGCAGGGTGGGGGCTGTGGGTGGCACAGAGGGTAAGGAGGACAGAGGCCCTGGTTCCAGGGAGGGAAGGACCAGGGGCAGCAGGCAATGGCCTCCCTGCTGTCTGCGAAGATGCAGAAAAAGGGCAGCGTCTGAGGAGGGGAGGCTCCAAGCGTGGGGAGCAGCTCCTGCTCCACCCAACCGGCCAAGCTCCTCCATCCCAGTTTACCAGAGCAGCCGAGCTAAGGCTATCAGTCCCTGGGCCAGGGGGACCGGTCCAATGCCACCCCCTCCACTCCCAGCATGCAAAGGGCCTTAAGAAAGTGACAGGCCACTGTCCACTGTGACAGCCACCTTTGCAGGAACTCCTGGAAGGAGGAGAAGAGCAGGTAGTCGATGGCACTGAAGTCCTCGCTGCTCCCGTTCAGGCGGAACTGCAGGAAGACCAGCTCCCGCTTCTTCACCTCCTGAGGCCCCCGAACCACCAGCGCAGATTTCTGCAGGAAGACAAAGGCCAGAGTCTCCGCACAAGGAGCGCCACGCAGACCCGTACCCCAGGCGGCCCAGGGAGCCCAGAGCCGTGGCCTCGAAGCCTGCGGAGACCTCGGCCAGAACCTGCTGCCAGAGCGGGCCAGCCTGGGGAGTCATGGGCGCCCGAGTGCCCACACTGCACCTCTGCCCGCTGGCTTGCTGGCTGCACTTGGAACTCTGGGCTTCATTCAGTGAGGAGGGTCACTCATTTGCTCTGGGTGCAAATGCTTCCTTGCAGGCTGCCATACTTCGTTTCCAATGTCACTTGTTACACGGAAGCTTTACATTTAATACATGAAGTCTTTCTTTATGGCTGCTGGGTTTTGCTTGCTAAAGCAAGTCAAAATTAGATCAATAGTCTCGCTATTTCTTTATAGCACTCTTATAAGCCACTGTTACACACAGCGAGTTTTTATGACTTTGGTTTTGTCTGTAGTGCGTAGCAGCAGTCTAACTCCCACCAGCACACAGGACACCGGGTTTTCAGCCCCTATGCCCCTCTCCTTTATCCTAAGTGATGCTGAGGTCCACATGCACTACTCTGCCTGCCACACATGTGCACCTGTCCTGGTGCCAACACACCACCGCGATACCGTCCTCTCACGGTCTAGAAGGTGATACTCACAGGCAGCTCCCCTCCTTGTGGCTCCTGCCTCCCTCACATGTGTCCAGGTCATTTCTGTACATGAGCTCTTATAAATGCACCTTAGCTCATTCAGGTCCACAAAAAGATCTATTAGGACTTTGAACCGTGATGAAACTAAACCGATGGATTAATGTGAGAAAACCTTTATAACTGCTCTACGAATCACTGAAAAAAAAGTGTACTCACAAAATGTTACGCACACCTGTACTCACACATACACCACACTGAGGATTGTATGTGGCATTTAATTCTCATGCTTCCTACTGCAGATCTGGGGCTGGGAATGTAGCTCAGAGGCATAGCGCCTGCCTGGCAGGCCCAAGGTCATGAGTTTGATCCCGGAACCAAAAAATGAAAAAGAAAAGATCTGAAGATGTGTGGGGCATTAAAACCACACTGAAGGAACAGCATTGCTTGTTTCTGACAAGTTTTGTTGAAATCCACAATCACCCTCTGGGCTGTGCAAAAACACTCGTGACTTAAACCTCAGTGGACAGAGCTTGAGCCTCCTGGCAATCTGAGCTGGACACAGCTCTTAGGGCTGTCATCAATGTCACTGCCCATCCTTCAGGTTGTTCTTATCTGTCCATTTATTTCTACCCTCTGCATGGTATTTGCTTTAGCAAAATTGTGACAAATTTGTGACAAAAAGGGCTAAAGGTCCTGTTTCCATCATCCTCCCCTTCCAAGACTGCAGGTCACAAAGGAAGGCGACCCCTATGGTCCACACCATCTCCTCAGCAGGGAGAAACTCACCCTGCACTTCTCACCTCCCTGGCTCCAATGCCGACCACAGGGAGCTGGACAACACCCAGGGCCTGGCAGGGACATAGAGAAGCCACTGCCAGACACAGCACCACCCTGCCCGTACGCCCAGGCTGCTCCTGAGACAAGAGAAGCCTCTCTCCTGTCAGCCACTGTGTCCGGGACGTGATTTGCGCCAGAACGAGGCCTACCTTAGGCTCTGGGCCACACAACCTGGAATCGTGTGTTAAGGCAGCAAAAAAGCCAGATGCGGCATCGGCCTCCCACTGGGTGGCAGGGCAAGAGTGAGCTACGGTGCGGGGACAGACACAGATCTCGTGGGCTGGAAAGGCAGGGCTTTCCACAGGCCAGGGAACAACCATTACACCAGGAGCATGAGAGGCCAGAGAGCCAACAGGAGCCTGAAGATGAATAGAGTTCAGCATGGCGAGACCTCCATGGGGCTGTGTGGTCTGCACGCTTCTGCTCCCTGCACAGCCTCGGGAGGGAGCAGATGGGGTCACAAGCCCCTCCTAGTCTGTGAATTCAACCTCAAAATCACTTTCCAAATGACACAGTGGGAATGGGCAGAGCAGGGCTCCTCCTGTCACTGCAGAAATGGCCACTGGGATCAGGACCAGGCCAGAGCATGAGAGTCTGGGGCAGCAGTGCTTCCCGGCAGGTGGCAGGGCCCACCTCACCCCTCCCCTGCCCCAGGGAAGCTGGAATGCTCAGACCTTAGTCCTCCCCTGTTCATTTGTACTTTTTCCTGAGACAGGGTCTCGCCGCATTGCCCAGGCTGGCCTTGAATTCCTCCTGAGGAGCTGAGCTGGTGGGCAGGACAGACGGGAGGAGAGGAGCTCTTCCTCAGTTCACAGCAGGGCTGCAGGAACTGAAGAAACTAGCCAGCCCATCAGGATGGCTCTGGAGCAGCAACCTCATGCACCCCCTTCTCTTGGGGAGATCACTCTACACCCTCATCACACAGCTCCTGGATAGCTCGGCTATGTCACGGGGTAAAGAGGCCTTGGAGGCCTCAGAGCATCCTTGCTGGAGGACAGGGAGGTGTCCCTAAGGGAGGTGGCTGTGAGTCCTGACAGTCTCTGTGACAGTGTCTTCTAGGTACAACCCCTACACACCACTTTCCTCAGTCTCCCGCTTCCCGAGAGGACCTGGCTTGCTCTCCATGGTCCTCATCTTCTGCTGTTGGCTTTACAGGACCACAACTTCGCTGCTCCGGTACAGCGGGAAAGGTGTGGGTGACGAGCATCAGGATGCAGTCTCCCCAAGCTGGCCCGCTTCTCTGTACTTTTCGCCTGCCTGCAGGGGCCATCATGAGCCACCTAGTGAAGCAGCAGGGCTTCACTGGGGAACAGCACCTCCACAGTCACCCCACGAGGGTGAAGGCTGTGGATGCCTGCGCAGCCCTGCTCTCTGACTGTGCGACTCTGAGCTGGCACCGGGCAGCAGTGGCCTGGGGCCGGGGCTTCTCTGATCTGCTGACTCTGTCAACCCAATCTGCTGCTTGTATTTTGCACCAGTTCCTGAAAATTCTGTCTGCCTGTGACCCCTTCTTAGTGTGCGGGTCAGCGTCCCCCTATCCTATTCTGTTCCTATGCTTTCTGCAGAAATGAGGATTGTGTCAGTAGGACACCCAGAGGGGACAAGTGAGGGAGCCAGTCTATGTGATGCCGGAAGGTCACAGTCAGGACGTAAATCACCCTGAACAAAGCCCCTCTGCAACTCGGACCCTGAGCAGGTGCCACTCCGCCAGGTAACCCAGAGCCTCATCCCGTCACTGCCCCCAGCCAATCACCCTGCTGGGTGACAGCGAGGCCAGGAGTCCTCTTCACTCGTAAACTGGCTCAGAATGTGGGGCCCGGGGCCCAGGCTCAGCAGTGATGGTTCAGCTGGACTCTCACCTGGACACCTAGGGTTCCAGAAAGTATCCGATTCTGCCGAGTGGCCAGGCAGGGGACACACATCGCTGTGTCACAGCAGCCACTCCCTCAGTCCTGGCGTTGGGCTCATCCCACTGCCAGGAGTCCCCGCACTCACACAGAACCCAGTGGGCATCATCTCCCAGCTCCCATGCCCGCAGAGGTGAGAAGGCCTCACAGAAGGACAACGGGCCCTCAGGGCACAGGGTGGGGGTAGAAGTTACCACGGTCTGATTGGAGAGGGGGTGCGTGTAGTTGATCCTCTGGGTGGTACAGTCCATGTCGCCGGGCTGGCCAGGGCTTGTCAGCGGTGGAATGACCTCGTAGTAGTGCTTACAGCTGAGCAGCTGGGCCTGCCCAGGGTACAGGGCAATACCTGGGCACATACAGGAAAGTGAGCATCTGCAGTCACAGTGCCCAGCCACGCCCCTGAAAGCACCTCACAGCCACCAGAAACAGCCTGAGACAGGAAGAGTTTCAGAGAGGAAGCCACACCTGCACCTTCCGAGTCTAGTGGAGGAAAAGGGCCCCACCCCACCTCAGCCTGCAGCCACCCACACTCCCTCCCTCCCTCCTCCACAGTCAGCTCTGTGTCAGAGCCCAGCTGCACCTGCCCCTGGCCCATCATCTACCACGGATGGCCTGGGCACCTCTGGGTCATGGGAAGCCCAGAACCACCTCTGTCTCATCTCTGCTCTGATCATGCAGGTGGCAGCCCAGGAGCATGGCCCCAGCCCAGCCAGGTGCCCACCCCGGCTCCCTGATCACTGATGCCCTGGACTTGAGGCAGAAACGCAGAGAGCAGCACCCACAGCAGAGGTGGATGTTCACAGGGACAAGAGGCCAGTGGGCAAGCAACACCTTAGCAGCCACAGCAGACATGGGAGAGGGGGGTCGGACACAAGACAGCAGGCCAGGCTGCCAGGGAGCCTGGGCAGCAGGGTCCGCCAACTCTGGCCCCAGCCGCTGAACAGTGTGCCTGGGCAGGGCAGGTGGCACGTCCCGGTGCACAGGCCTGGAGCCATAGAGCTCAGGCTGCCCCTCCCTCGTGACTCCAGGGTCCACTCTGGGGCAGGGATGGCAGCCCATGGGGGACCAGACATCCCACCAGGGCAGGAGATGTACTCGCTGTGGCCTGCAGTCCCTCTCCAGGCAGGGCCCTCCTCTCTACCACCCTTCCCCAACCTACTGTCACCACAGCACCACATGTCCCTGCCCAGCTCCTCCCCCACCACAAACCCCACGGCCTGACATGCTCTTCAAGCCCAGCTATGACCCCACTTCTCAACAAGGCTCCCCCAGCACCCACACCCCCACCCTAGCCCTGCCCTGCCCTGCCCTGCCCGCCTATAGCTCTACCTGGCGCCTCGTAGCGATCCACCTCTTTATAGGACACGGACATGACAGGGTGCTTAAGCTTCTCACGGAAGTCCGTGATGGTCTGGTAGACCAGGAAGACAGCCACAGCCATGAGCAGCAGGTAGATGAAGATAAGCAGGACAGAGAAGACGTTCTTCAGGCAGGCCTTGCTGAAGCGCAGGCTGTTGGAGGCCGACTCGCTGTCCAGGCCTGAAACGGCAAAGCCTTGGGGTCTGACCTAGCTGCTGGGGCAGGGGGCCAAGGCGAGGCTACCCCATGGCCACGTCCTAACACAGGGTCCCTGGAAGCCACATTGCACCCTCCCTGCAGGGCAGGACACCACACGGCCTGGGCTCCCGGCAGCAGGAACCTGTGAGCAAGGGCCGGCCGACCCAGGTGTCCCTGCCCTTTGCTCCAATCTTCCTATGCTTTCTGATTTAGGAAGGTATTTTCCAGGGAGTCCTCCCTGACCTGCTCATTTTTGTGGGTGCCCCTTCCTCAATGTCCCCAGGGCATCTGTAAGTCCCCCACTTCATCCCACAGCAATATCCCTAAGTTTTTATTCCCCCAGGCTGTCAGCTCATAAGGGCTAGCACAAAGTCATACTTGCCCACAACCGAATCCCAGGGCTGCCCGCTGCTCCCAGACACAGGGGCCCTTTGCCCCACATGGTGATTGATTAATCGTATCCTCATGTCACCCCTGAAATGCAGCTCCACCTCCCTATCTGCACCTGCACCATCCTGAGCTGAGTCCACTCTGCTGTGGTCTGAATTATGTCCCCAACCCCGAATTCTGACAGCGTGGAATTCTGACAGTGTGGCAGGGCCTTTGGGGAGCTACAGTTCAGTGAGGTTGTAAGGGTGGGGCCCTGATCCCTACGAGAGGAAGGGACCCCAGAACATGTGCACATGGGAAAGGCCACATGAGGACACAGCAAGGTGCCACCTGCAGCTGGCGTCCTGACCCTGGGCATCAGCCTCCTGTGCACGTCCACTGTGTAAGCCTGAGGTGACCTGAGGAAAAGCCCTGCCTCCACAGCACAGCTGGCACAAGGCTGGCACAAGCGAGGAGTCTGAATGCAAGCCCAAAGGCCTGTGTCTTCCAATCATGACAGCTGTACTCCCCTGCCACAGACAGCAATGATAAAATCTGAATACCATCAAAATCGGGGTAAACCAGAGGAGTGTCCACCTTTGGAAAAGAAGAAGTAGAGAGGTGAGATCTGTAAATCTGTAACCTTTTGCCTGAGGACACGTGCCAATCTCTGAGGGACAGGGCTCAGGATGACAGAGTCCAGGCTGGGAGAGGAGTCACAAGATTGAAGAAAAAGCCCGAAAGGGAAGGAGCTGGAGATGGGACAAACTCCCGAATAATTAACATGCTCAAGTCATTTGTGGGTCGAGGTGGGAGTGGGGTCAGAGGCAAAAAATAGGAGCTGAAAACAGAAAGAGAATTGAGTGGTTTCACTGCTGCTAATACAGGGCAACAGGGATTTGAGCCTGAGACTCGCCACACTAACACCTACTAAGACAAAACATCTTCACGAGGGTATAACGGTGCCGAATCTCTACAGCACACACCTCACAATGGCCAGTGTTCAATAAAAAATTACCAGACACCGAAGAAAGGAGAAACTGTGACTCACAGTAAAGGGAAAAAGAACCAACACCAAGATAACCACAGGCAGCAATGAGCAGACGGAACTTCACACTCCAAAGACTTGGGGGAGACTGTGCGGATCCCTGACAGAATTGCTCCACCAGCCCCGCCCTGCCACAGGCTGTCAGCCAGCCCCCAGGGAGTCTTCAGAGGGCAATCTGGTCTCTGAAAGCACCATGGGACCCCTACAGAGGAAGGCGCCTGGCTGGATGCCTGTAACCCTGGGAGCCGGCACCTCGCAGAGAACAGCAGGTTAGGCTTCACCTACATCTCTGGCTTCTTTTCAGGGATATGGTGGGTTGGGGCTTGGTGTCAGTTGCATTTGCATACCATAAAATGTATGCTTTTGAAAACAGATCAGTAGTTTACAGTACATTCATGAAGCGTGCAACCATCACCACCAGCTAATTACAGAACACTTCAGCCATCCCAAAAGGCTGGCCATTAGTGGTCCTTCTTCTCCTAGGGTCTGCAAACACTAACCCATTTCCCATCTCTATGCACTGCCTGCTCCGGACAATTCGCACACACAGCATCACAAGTGTGGCCTTTGACCCTTCTTTCGCGTCAAGCAGTGTTTTTGGGGGTCCTGCATGCTGCGAGCAAGAACCAGTCTGCATCTCTCTGCACTGCTGAACAATATCCCATCGCATGAGTACATTTCTGTTATCCAGCAATCATCAGCTGATGGTATTCGGGTTACTTCCTCCTCTTGGCTTTAGGAATGACGCTGCTGTGTTTGTTCATGTGTACATTTGAACATGGACCCAGCTTCTCATTTCTCTTGAGCAGGTTCTGTGGCGGTATCACCAGGTGCTGTCATCTAAATGTGCCCCCAGTCCCATATTAAAGCCGTGTGCCCCACAGCGGTGCTGTTGGGAGAGAGGGGGTGAAAACTTCAAGCTGGGGGCTGAGGGGGGGGGGGGCTGAGCCCCAGCCCCTCTTCCTCTTTTCCACTTTCCCTCTACCAAGTGTCCCACTACGCTTCCTCACCACACGCCTGAAATCTCCAAAAGCCAAAGTAAACCACTCCCCTCCGTAATCTGGTTTATCTCCAGCATCCCCTACGGTCACACAGCAGATCACGAGAGGGGGCGGTCAGTCCCTTCCAGACACGAAATCTGCACCACGTTCTGAATGTGCGGGCCTCTGGCTCCCCCACCCTGCCTGCCCATGTCACCCATCTTCAGGGTCTCTGATTGTCAGCTGTGCTAAGTGCTACAAAGGAAAACATGAATTTGGGGAAAAGGGGGTCTCATCAGAGAGGCCAGGGAAGGCTCAAGAGAAGGAGGGAGGAGCTTGTCCGTGGTTGCCTGCCTTCTCTCCCCGCGTGTCTCAACTTCCAGCAGGTACACCAGGAGCACCACTACGTACCAGCTCAGAGCAAGGTATTTAACCTCAGTGGTTCAGGATGCATCCCGGTGCAGTGGTGGTGAGCCTAAGGCATGTGTGCCAAAAACAGAGAGGAGGAGGGGAGAGGAGAAGGGCGATGGGGAGGGCAAGGAGAGACTACACTGGATTACCCAGGGAGCAGGAGAGGGTGGCTCAGAGATGAGACTAGAGAAAGATGGCTGAGGACGGAGGAAGAGGCCACAAGCCAGGGACACAGGAAGTCCCTATCAAGCTGACAGGACAACGGATTGTCCCCCAGAGCTCCAGAAACAAACTCACGCTATGGACGTTTAGTTTTAGCCCAGTGACACCTATTTTAGCCCAGAACCAGAAGGTGATAAAATGTCGTTTTAAGCCAGGGGGTTTGTGGCAATTTGCTATGGAAACAAAAGGAAATGAATGCAAGGAGATACCAAAGGCTTCGCTGCCCCAGAAGCCTGGGGGCTTGGGGCAGCTGCACCGCTGCCTGTGGCTTACGAGGCTCCCATCGGAGGGTGCTCACAGAGGTTTGGTGCTCTCTAAAAAATCCTCAGAAGAACAGGTCAGTGGAAAGAGCACGCCAGCCCGCACCTGCCTCCACAGAGAACCAAAGCACGTGTGCACAGCTGCACACCGAGATATGTGGTCATGGGAGATTCTGCAGTCCAGTCAGCAAGACAGAGACTGGAATTTTGTGTGATCTGGGGACCTGGGATGAAAGCATAGGAGAAAAGCAAAATATGCGAGCCTCTGCCCCCCAGCTTCATGGCCCAGGAGGGGCCTTCCTTCTACAGCCAAGGATGAAAGTGTCCCCACCCCCACCCCACAGTGGTCAGTGTGGGTGCCAGCCAGCACAGCTCAGGGGACATTTCCAACCCTCACAGGCTGCAGCCCACTTAACTAAGCAAGCTGCAATCCACCCAGCAGCCTCACTTTGGAAAAGGACTACAATCATCTCCCAGGACACCCCAGGACAGAGCCACCAGCCCTCTGCAAAAGGAGCTGCTGGCTGAGTGTGGGCTGTGCTCAGAGTCAGAACCCCTGTACGTTCCTACCTCTGGACCCGACAGCCCACCACCCTGCCTGGGAGAATCCCCTGGGTCCCACAGACTAACTGACCCAAGCCCATGCACTGGGCCACCTGCATGGTAGGGGACAGGCAATGTAACACAGGAGAAAGTGGAGGATACCACACTTGAGTCCAAGCAGACAGGGAGCTTGGTCTGCTTGAGATGGGCCATGTGAGGACGCACACCCATGCAAGGCCAAGGTAGGTGTCCATGAGGTTCCCACCAGGCCCCCACTTCACCCTGTGCTCAGGACAAGCAGGGAACTGAAGGGCTCTGCCACCGAGGCAGGAGAGGAACACCATGCTTTCTACTGCCACCCTGACACTGCATCTTGGGTGACAACACTGCATTCACGATTAGGTACTGTGGCTCCTGTCACTACCTCTCCTACAGCGTCTGAGCCCTCACCATCGACTGTCAAGGACAAGGCTTGAGGCACCCTCACTGCTGGGGCTGTCAGGCCAGGGGCCCTTCAGTAGCAAAGCCAGCATCAACCATTCACCAGGAGACCCCTGACCTCCTACTCCCACTGGCAATCACAAAAACCCACAGGCTTGAGCCTGAGGAGAGTCAGGGCTACAACAGCAGGTTTCCCAGAATGAAAAGACTCCATGAGCCCAGTGCAAATCCAGGATGGGGCTTGTTATGGTTTGTGTCTGGATTCCCCTCCCCCAAGCCTCATGCAGTCTTGGGCGTGTTTTAGAGGTGGGCTTCTAGTTTGTGACTGATTCATGGTCCAATGCTGGGATCATGGGTGTGAGGGCGGGTAGCCTGCGTACAATAAAAAGGAGGGGAAGAGGCTTGCTTTCTGTCTCCTGCCCTTTTGCTTGGTGCTTTTCTGTTCTCCACCACCAGGAACTGTGGCCCTCTGCCATGAGCCACCCTGTCTTGGATCCAGCAGACTATGGACTGAAACTGTGAGCTAAATAAACCTTTCCTTCCTTCATTTTAGGCATCGGGTAACTTGTCTCAGCAACGAGAAAAAAGTAACCAACACAGGGCTCATTCATGCCATAAATTAACAGAGCTCAAGCCACTATGAAGTACTTAGAAGAAAAATTGAAAAAATGGAAAACAAAGTCAGGGGACTATCAGAAATAAAAGTGAAATCAATTAAAGTTTGAAAAAGTAAAAAAGAAATGAAAACTCTGCAATTTGAGATTTGCTTACAAGGATAAAAGAGTAGAAAGGGTATAAATTGTATTTGAAAAATAAAGAACAGTTAAGGAGAAGAAGAGAGCAATATAATGAGAAGTTAAACAATTTGAAACCCCCTTCGGATAGTAGATCCAGGCTGAAGACTGTTAGAAGTAGCCTGCATCAGACTTGCACTTAAAAAGTCCAAGTGAAAAGTTACAACAGAAAAGCAAGCAGATAAAAAGGAACAGCTTCCAAAAACCTGGTTCAATACACGTAAGGAATTACTGACTATGAAAACTACAGAAACACTTAAAACTACAGAAAAAAAAGATGAAGCAAGTAATAGTCAACCTCAAAAAAAAGAAAAAAGAAGTAGCAAATCTCCAGTGCCGTGGAGAAGAGAGTCTGTTGGAGTGTGGTAAAGCAGGACGATATACAGAGACTGAAGAAACTGCAAGACACAATTCAGCAGATTAAACCATGGCACTGGCCTGCGTCCCTGCCCAGCCAGGGTTGGTTAACCAGCTTTTTCTACAGACAGGAGCCAAAGGGAGAAGTCAGACGGCAGGCAGAACTGAAGATCTGGAGACGAAACACCTGAACTGAAATCTCAAGGATTGTCTTAGAAAGTACAACTGGAAGTTGATCAGGAGATCTGTCTGGAGGACTTGCAAGTTGCAAGATCACTGCTAAGTCCAGAAGAAGGGACTGAGGGGTGGAGGAGATAAGTGATGAGCTTCCTGTGCAAACAGACCTGCAGGAGTGCAAGGCCTCTTGCAGTGGCCTGGGTTGGAATTTGTACTGGCAGGTGGTACTCAGCCAGGTCTATTGCCAGGCAACTTAATGGTTCCCACCTCATGCCCTGGCCTTCAAATGAGAGAATACAGACGCATGAGACCAGCAGGCAGCAAGAGCAGCAAGAAAGTGGAACCAGAGAATTAAACCACTATGCTGCTGAACGTGAAGCTGCACTCCTTACAGCTAGGATCCAAAATTAAGTCAGGACCTACTTGTTGAAACATCTCCGGAATCTGCACGCGTTTTAAAGAAAACAATACATAATACAAAAAGTAAGACTTTATTAGACTGTTTATATACCATTTTTATTGTTTCCCATTAACTATATGCCATGAAAACTTCCTTTAAGAAAAATACTTCTGTACTATATGGTGATGAAAATCCTTATGCTGTTTTCCAGCATCTAAAACTTCTGAGCAGAGTTTGTAAACAAAAGCAAGTACTACTGAGTCTTGCACTCGAGCTGCCTGAATGCCAGCTGTATAAACAGCATCTAGACAACTGCACTGTCATTAAAACTTCGGTGGAGTTAAATATTAGTTTAATGATGGCTTAAAAAAATGAGTGCGTATATCCGAAAAAGGGATCTCAAATAAGTAATGTAATGATACATCTCAAGGTCTTAGAAAACAAGAACTCAACCTGCAATCAGTACAAGGAGCAATAAAGATCAAAGCACACATAAAGGAAGGAGAGACGGAAAGATTAATAACCGGAACATATAAAGAGCTCAAAAAGTTAACACAAAAAACAAGTAATACAATCAAACTATGGGCAAATGTTCTGATACACGCTCCTCAGAAGAAGTGAAATGGTCAACAGATAGATGGAAAAATGGTTCAGAGCTTTGGTCATGTGACATCAACTTCCTGGGATGATTGTGAGCATTATGTATGGCAAATGCACACTAATAAAATAAACCTAATTTTTTTTAAAAAAATTAAATATCTGTAGTCATCAGAAAAGCGTTCACTGTAATCAGAGCAGCTGTTATTAAGCACACACAGACACACATGCTGCTGAGGCTGTCGTTGTGGGGAACAGGAACCCTCATACACTGAGGGTGGATATGTCAATGACTATGGCCACTACGGAAAACAGCACAGCGATTCCCCCAAAAAGCTAAAAACAGAGCCATCACATAATCCAGCTGCCCCATTCCTGGGTAAACACCCAAAGACATTGAGATCCGCACACCCTGGCTACTGTGCTACTGCTGGCAGGAAGCGTGGACTCCGCTCCGAGGCAACTGACAGACGTAGGGGTACAGTAAACACGGTGTCTGTGCACGGTGGTGGAGCAGTCAGATGTAAGGAAGAAACCGTGTACCTGCAGGAACACGGGTGGAGGTGGAGGACACAGTAAGTAAAACAAGCTGGAAAGAAATGAAATACAGGGGCTGGGGATTTAGCTCAGCGGCATAAGCGCCTGCCTTGCAAGCCTGTGGTCGTGATTCGATCCCTGGTACCGGTAAAAATACAAAAAAAAAAAAGAAATGAAATACAGCAGGCTTCCTCTCACACAGCGAGACAAAAAAGATTGTGGGGAGGGCAGGACAATAGAAGAGGGACTTCCACGGAAAAGGAGAGGAACCGGGCACCCTGAAGAGGACAGGCCAGGACAAGGCAGAAGCCAAGGAGGGCAGCTCAACGCAGCAGTGGGTATGACAGAGCCAGCCAGGGCGGGCAGCGTTAGGAAACGTCAGCTGCCTTTCAGCCTTCCCAGTCACACAGCAGACAGGATGACAATTTCATGCCTTATTCTTCTTCCCCACCAACACAGGAAACTATAGGAATGGAGCTCGGCATCCCCAACACACCCAAGAGGCGAAGTCTGGCTGGGTCTCCATTCATTCATTCTTTCACTCAGCAAAGTTCCCTGCATAGCCAGTGTCTGCCCTCCAGGAGCCCCGCTGGAGCAGAAGAGGCGTAAGTTGCAAGTGATGCACAAACACACACACATTCCAGCAGTGACCACGGCAAAGGAGCGGGGCATGGAGAGTGTACTTGAGGATGGGAAATGACATCATGGCCTGGAAGTCAGGCAGGCCTTGCAGAAAAAAACAACCAGCAGAGAGCTAGAGAATGATTAGGCATTAACTGGCGAAGATGGAAAGACATTGCGGGCAGAAAAATAAAATAAGAAACAACTGAAGGGTCCAAAGGCGGGAAGGAATCCACTGCCACGGCCCGAGCAGCAGACCACGCGGGGTGTGGAAGTCTGGAATATCTGTGTGACATGAGAACAGTGTGGGGACACTCAGGGAACTGAAGCAGCAGAACAGGCGTACGTGAGGTCACGGATGGGGACAAAAGGGCCCTGCAGCACACATTCCACATCCAGGGCTGGACAGGGTACAAATGGGACTGATGGAGAAGCTGGGACACAGCCTTCCTGGGATCGTGCTCCAGGGCAAGACAGGCCAGCTGCAGTACAGAATTCAGGACCAAGGAGGCCGAGGTGCCTGGAGGCCCCCAGTGATGACAGTAACCTCCTCACCCCACAGATCTGAGCACTGGGGCCGGGAAACACCCAGACAGCACAGGCCCACATGCTTGCAGCTTCCTAGGGAAGAAAACACGTGCCATTGTGTCCCAGGACCTGGCCTCAGCGCTTGCTCCAATGAGGGAATCAGAAGACATCAGCCCAGGCACCGCCACGTCCTCCGTCTCGGGCTAGTGAAATATGCATGGCTTCAGAACTAGGGCAACACCTGAGACCTGACACCGGGCAGAGGTGGCGAGGGGCTCCCGCACTCCCAGGGCTGCAAGGCGTCTGCACCGAGGCCTCCAGCTGCAGGCACGGCACAGCACACCCACTGCAGGCTCCGAACCCACTCACCTGGGCCAGCACCCGGACCTCGGACTTCGATGGCCTCCTTGTCCCGCTCGTCCGCTCGCTCGGAGTTCTCAACCACCTGGTCCAACTCCTCACTCAGCTATGGGGAGAAGCAAAGTGGGTGAACAGGCTGGTGGCATCGTCTTTGCTTTCCTAGACTAAAATGAGAAAGCAGAAGCTGCTACTTATGTAATTGTCACACACACAAAACCAATGATATGGGGTGTTTTAGGCCAATTCTATAGATCAGGACAATGAAGCTTAGAAAACACAAGGAACTTCCTGCCTACTCCTTTCCAGCACTGCTAAAACAACTTATCATAAAGCGAGCAGCTACCAACGCCAGGACTGTCCTCGCCTGTGCTTCTGGGGGCTGAAGTCTGAGATCAAGGTGTGGGCAGGGTTGGCTGCTCCTGAGAGTTAAGGAAGGACATCCTCAATGTGTCCCTCTGAGCTCCTAGTGATGACAACAACAATGCTCCACGTTCTGTCTCCACTCTCTGTCTTCCTCTTTACATTTTCCCTGTGCCTGTGACCCTCCAGAGTCATCTTTTTTAAGGACACTGGTCATGCTAGATTAGAGGCCCACCCTATTTCAACATGATCTCAACCATACTTGAAATGACCTTATTTCTAAAGAGTCACATACAGCGCCTACCTGGCAAGGGTAAAGTCCTGAGTTCGATTCCTGGTACCAATAAACAAACATCCACAGTCTAAGGTACTGGAGGCTAGAACTTCAATGAATATTTTAGGGGAGGAGTGCACCGTAGGGGGTTCAACTCACTACTGTTTTCATGGCTACAGAGGCAGGAAAGAGCTAGAAAACAAGTCCCCTGTTAGTCCGGTTCCAAAGCCCATGACCTTAACCACTTCCCAAAGCCAAAGGAAATGTGGTTGAGTCTGCTGAGGGAGGAAAAAAAAAAGAGTGAAATTGGTCTGAGCTCTGGAGAAGGCTGATTAAACATCAACTTGGGCTGCAATTGACAGAGAAAGTGGGCAGTCCAGGGGACTGCGCTAATCAGCAGCCTGGTAATCTCGCTATCAGGGCCCTCACCTGTACCATGGGCAGCTGTGCCACTGAGGAAGGCAGAAGGCAAACATGATAATCAACAGTCTCTGGGGTTGAAAGGAGGGGACTGGCAGAGGCGCTATCACTGTGCGGGTGTAGGAGGGATAAGGTGCCCAAGATTTCCTCAGGCTCATGCGTCTTCATTTCAGGTCTTCATTTCAATTGGGGATCCAACTCCAGCAGAAGAGCAGCTGTCATGCATCTATTTTTCTTTCCTCTCCCTCTCCACATCTCCAACTCTGCCCCTTAGACTCAGGTGAAATCTCCTGTTTAAAGCCCACCCCCCACCCCCCACCCCCCCACCCCCACCCCCCGCCAGCATAAAAGCCAACACATGTGAGAGGGCCTAGAGGCCAGGAAAGGCCCCAGGAGGTACAGGTCATTTCGTGGCAGCGCACACAGTAGTACCCCAAAGCCTCAATAACCAAAGGAAGAGAACAATGTGAGTCCCAGGAAAACAGCATTCTTCGATGCCCACCTCACCCAGATGCCCACTGACTTCCCCTCCTGACTCCCTGAAAGCCACACCAGGCCCACCAACTTGCCTGGCCCCAGCCAAATCCCCAGCATCCCCCATGTCCCAAAGCAAAATCTCTCTCAGCAAAGATGCCTAACTCAGAACCAGGTCCATGCTCAGAATGATTTCATTAAGAGAGATGCAGGACATTCTCTGGGCTGTTATGGGACTGAACAAGGTAAACAGAGGGGGCCCTCCAAGGGACAGAACCATGGGCATCCAGCTCGGCGGCATCCCTGCCTGTAAACCTGAGCCGTGCTGGGCGGAGACTGGGAGCTAGCAGTGGACCAGATAGGATCTTGACAAATAAGGATCCAAAGCTCCCTAGAAGCTGGCACTGCCCGCATCCTGAGCGGCTGCTATCTCGAGGCCAGGCACTTGCTGGCACTTTCCATACCCCAGCTCTTTTTTGCACAGTGAGTTTCCAGTGTGGCTAGAGCCCCGGAAGATGAGAAGATGCCCAGGTAATGGGAGATGAGGCATCAGGCCACGCGGCTATGCGGGAAAGTGGACCGTTCTGGGCAGACCAAGGTCAGCAGCATCAGGTCTTACGAACAGAAACTGCTCTGTGGACCTGGTAGGGCCTCAAAGCAAATCTGATCTGTGCTGGAAAACCCTGCAGGGAGAGGTGGCAACATAGTATCACACTCTGCAGCAAATAGCTGCAGAACTGCCTCGCTTGGCGAACCAAGGGGAGCACAAGGGAGGGGACCAAGGTCTGAGCAGGGGGCGGGGGAAGAGGAAGAGGAGCCCGCGTCCCCAGAGACCCGAGACCGGAGGGCTCTGGAGGAAGAGCTGTGTAAAGGAACCGCGTGTGCCCGTAGCACAGGGCAGACAACAGACAAAGGACTGGCAAGTGCACGGCGGGTCCCGGGAGGAGGTGAGCCTAGGGCGAAGGACCCAGAGCGGGGAGCAGCAGCTGGGGGCAGAAGGCGGCCCCTGAGACGGGGTGACGGGTCCCTGTCATTCCGCGGCCAGGGGCCCAGGCCTGGGGCTGGGGGGCGGCGCCCCGCACGCATCCGCTCTCAGGGCGCAGACGCCGCCGCTTGCTGCTGAGAGCCTCGCTCCGCCGCCGCCCGGACCCTCCTCTGTCCCGCGCCAGGCGGACTCGGAGCACGCGAGTCGCCCCTCCCGCCCCACGCCCTACACCCCACACCCCACAGAGTCTTTCCTCCCGCGCCCCACGCGCTCCTACCTCCTGGTAGGATGTGGAACGTTCCTGCCGGATCATGGCACTGAGCAGGCCCAAGGCGCACCTGAGCCCGCCGCGGCCAGGCAGGCGCACGGAGGAGACACTGCTGCCGAGCTCGAGGACCGCCCCGGCTTCGCGTGGCTACTCCGGTTCTGAGCGCTGTCCCGGAGACCCGGGCTGGCAGCGCTCGGCGCATGCGCATGGCTCCCCGCCGCGCGGGGGTCTCCGGGAAATGTAGTTCTGGGTGGGGTGCGAAGCTGAGCCAGACAGGCGCGTGCCTGCGACTGCTGACTTCCTCTCTTTGTTGCTGGGGTACGGGTGGAGAAAATGAATGTGAAGTGGAAACGGCAGGCCTGGCCAGATGAGGAAGCACGCCTAATGTGTAATTACAAGAGGAAGCTTGCGTGGCCTGGCAGTTCATAACCATAATCAGTGTCTGGAGAGAGCTTAGTATGTGTCGTGAACAGGATGCCCTTAATCCTGCAAAGAACCCTGTGAAAGGGGAACGTTTTTCTCCTGATTGTAAAGATGAGACCGAGGCACTTTGTTTTATAAAGGATGGAAGGAAGCAGTGAACAAAATGAATATTATTTGATTCAGGAATATTATTTTTCTGTCTACAGATAGGATCCAAACTCTTCATTACGGTTTAGGCTGTGCCCACCCCCCACCCCCCCACACACACCACCCACAGGCATTGCAATACTTGGAGCCCTGCTAACTTCTGCCTGCTTCACAGGGCCTTAGAGCCCATGCACTGAACCCGAAAATGGCTCATGCACTGAACCCCAAAATCGCTGCTCAACCACAGAAGAAGCCTAGACCCCTAAAGGTGGAGGGAACTTGGGTGGTGGACCTGAGGACCACGGCTTCCTCTCTTCTCACTGCCTGAACAGTTTGTCCGGGTGGTACCTTGGGCAACTCAGTGGTGAGGCTGATAAGAGGCTGCTTATTGTGCCTGGTGAATGCTGCTCTGTGTCCAGGGCAGCTGCAGCTGTGCAATCCCCTCCATTCAGCCACTGGCCTCTTCCCTCCTTAGCCCAAGCTTGGGCACCCAGGCCACATCAGAGCACCGGACCTCCTGGAGTCAGCAGTGGGAAGTCTGTCACCTCTCCAGCCAGCTCCACTGCCCTGACATCCATCAAATGGGACAGTGTGTAACACATCGTAGGCCCTCCACATTTAGTAAGTTTATGAATGAAACACTTATTCCAGCTGAGTTGTGTGCCAAACCAAAAATACAACAAGCAATGAATTAAATGCCTTACCATATTAATACAAGGGTGATTTATATCATTTGCCACATGATCACAGAATTTTTGAACTGAAAAAAAACCCTATTTCAGCCCTATCATTTCTCTCTTCCTTGTTGCTGTAACTAAAGTTGAAAATGATAGGGCTCTACCATTAGAGGAAATATTGGCTAATACAACATTTAACTTGGTTTAACAAATATAATGTTCCAGACCCTGGAGTACAGAAATGAATGAGCTACCCCAGTAGCCTTGCACCTGTGGCTGTTCCGTACCAGTGATCAGGGGCAGCTGGAAACATGTAAACAGTTTCCAGTTCTCTCATTCCCTCGTGATCACACACCCATCAGACCTCAGCCCTCTCCACTGGAACAGAGCTTGTCAAGGTCACAACAAGCCTCTTGCTGTCAAATCAGATGGCCATTTAGCAACACTCCTCTCTCTTGACTTACCTACTGCTTTGGACTGGGCTCAGCAATCCCCTGGGGATACTCTTTTGTCCCCTTGCCTCCAGAACCTGCTTATTCCCACTTTCCTCCTACCTCGTTTGCTGCTCCTTCTCACTCTCCTCACCTCAGCTTTACAGAACGGCCTTTCCAAAGCTAGGTCTTCCATCTCCTTCCCATTTTCTGCCCAGCAGCCAGTCTCAGGGGTTGAACTGTCATCTATACTCTAGAGCCCTGCTATGGGTCAAATGCTGCCCCTGACAAATGTGTTGAAATCCTAGCTCTAGGTCCTTAGACTATTATCTTTCTTAGAAATAGTGTCACTTCAGATGTAAATTGTTGAGATGAGGTCACACTAGGGTAAGGTGATCGCTTATTCCACTATGAGTCCGTATAAAAAGATGGACAATCATGCGCAGACAGGCACCTCGGTAGATTTCTGTGTGATGACAGAAGCAGAGAGTGCAGTGATGCAAGTGTAAGCAAGGAGCCTTCAGTCACTCACTTGCTTCTTACAGGTGGCAGCTCCAGGAGCCACGCTCCAGCCCTTGACCAATAAGAGGCCACATTGCAAAGATTGCCAGTCACCACCAGAAGCTACCACACGGCAAGGAAGGAGTCTACCCACAGAGACTCCTAGGGTTTATGACCCTTAATGTCACATGTCCAGCCTTGAGCATTTTGAGAGACACAGTTTCTGCTCTTTTAAACCATCTAAAAATTCGTGGTTCTTTGGTGGAACAGCCTGGAGAAACTAACATAATTCCAAAGTGTATACAAACTCATGGTTTCCAGCTTCCAGTTTGCCCCTGAGACCTAGGTTCTCATGCCCAACTGCTTGGGTTACTGCACCCCAGGGTGGCCACCTGGCAGCTGCTGAGTGCAGTTATTGAAGCTCAAACCCACAGCCAGGCCACCTGGTTCAGTCTTGGCTCTGCCACTTACAGACTTTGTGATCTTGGAGAATTTATTTAATCACCGTATGCCTCAGTTATCTCATATGGCAATACTGCTACCCATTCTCAGAGCTCTGCAAGGATTAAATGACTTATTGGATAAAAAACTTAGAAAGTCATCCAGCACATGTAAGCAGAAGGGTCATGTTTGTGGTTATCGTCAGGTTCATAGCAGAACGTGGGCTCTTCCTACCCTTAATCTGCTCCCCTCACAGTCCCTCAATGTATTAAACTCTATCTGCTCCTGGGCTCTGGTCCAGATGCTTACAGTCATCTCATTTCTTCCTTTTTTTCTTATATTCCACGTCTAAATCTGCCAATCCTCTTGGCACTACTTTACAAATGTATTCAGAATCTGAGCACTTTTTACCATCTCTACTGCTAGTGCTTTAGTGTAAGCCACTAGAATTTCTCTCTCATTATTTTCCATAGTCTCTAAGCTGGTCTGTTCTGCTCTTGCCACCCTGTAGGCTTTTCCTGCCACAGCAACCAGGGAAAACTTACTTAGTACTCAGATCATGGCACCCTACTACTGTAACCCCTCCAAAGCCAAAGTCCCCACAGTGCCCTTGCATTAGGGATAGGATCTGTCCTGCCCAGAAACCACCTTTTTATTCCTTTATGCCCTCGTCTCAGCTCCTAAAGGCAGAACACATACTATTTAGCCATTTAGCAACACTCCTCTCTCTTGACTTACCTCTTTTGGTTGTCAGACATTGGTTGTCACCTATGCCTGGAATACTCTTCTGGTCATGCATGTGGCTCACTCCCACCACCTAGCTGTTTTTCCAAAGGTCAGCTTAGCACTGATGCTTTGTAGTAGTCAGCTTTCCTGTTGCTGAGACAAAACACCCAACACCTACAATTTAAATGAGGAGAGATTTATTTTTAGCTCACAGTTTCAGGGGGTTAGTCCGTGGTTAGAAAGTGCCCGGGCAGAAAGGGCATGGCAGAAGAAAGTTGCTCCCAACGTGGCATCAAGAAAGCAGAGAAAAACAAGCAGGAGCCAGAAAACTCCAGGTTATACCACCAGTGATCTGCCTCTTACAACCAGACCCCACCTCCACATAGCACAGTAAGCTATGAACTCACAGAGTAATCCATTGATAAGTATAGTTATGCCATATTCCAATCACCTTCCAAGAGCCTCTGCAAATGAGACTTTTAGGGGAATATTTTGATCTAAATCAAAGCATTCCATTCCTGGCCTCCAAAATGTTCGTGACCATCTCATTAGGCAAGATATAAATACTCTGTCTCTAAGAGTTATCAAAGTCTCAACAGTTCCACCACTGTTGAAAAGTTCAAGTCCAAAATCTTCTCTGAGACTCAAGGAAAACTCTTAGCTGAGAACATCTATGAAAATCAAAAAGAAAGTTAAATACTTAGAACATGCATGGCACAGGGTAAATTGTAATGATTGATACATTGTGTCAACTTGAGAAATTTAGAAGTTAGACTAAACAACCCAGCAGGGACCCAGGTCCTTACTGTGCAAGAGTAGGGGAGGGAGACCTCAGTGTTACATCTGCCCTAGGGGATGGTAGCCAACTTACAATGTAAGGGAGAAAAAGAAACTTGCTCTTCCCCATTTTTCTCTTGCTGCTTTTGCCACCTTCTGCCACCTTGAAGTGTTGCCCCTGTGCTATGCCATGCTGCTTTGGAGCCAGTTGATTATGGACTGAAACTTCCACAAACTGTGAGCTAAATAAACTTTTTCTTTCTTGATTTTGGCCACCAGATCTTGTCTTAACAATGAGCAAAAACTAACCAACACAGAATTTGGTACCAGAGGAATGGAGTCATTGCTGTGACTATACCTGTCCATGTAGTTTAAGAGCCTTTGAGAATGTCTTGTACAAGGAATTTGGAAAGGTTCAGGGCTGTCACCTGAAGAAGTATAGATGGAACATCTTAGGCTCTTCTTCATGGGAAATTCTGGTCAGAACTCAGAAGACCAAAAGGCTGATAGAAATCCTGCCAGTAAAGACCAGGCTCAGGAGGGTTCTGCAGGGAAGGACTTCTGGACTCCAACTGATGTATGTTATGGCTTGGCAAAAAGTTTGTATCTTGCTTGTATATAGCTACTTTGTCTCAGAATAAGATTAAAGATGGCAGACCAAGTAATCTGGCAGAAAAAATTTCAAGGCAGTCAAATATTAAGGCTGTGACATGGCTGTTATGAGGGCTTTTAGCTAGATTTATGTTAAGAACCAAGAGCAAAGAGCCAGCAAGATAATTTAAAATGTGAGTTTGGCCAGAAATTAAGCTCCGGTGAAGCTGTGGACTACACTAATACAGCTGAGGAGATCTTGACTTCTGAGAAAGAACAGATGAATATAAAAGATGACCCGAAGGCATTACAAGAAGCAGCAACTCTTCACCCTTTGCAGCCTCAAAACTGCAAAAGTGAAAGACTTTGTTTGCTCTGAAGAAAAAGCCACAGAGCACCATGCTCAGAGTGGTAGCTGCCACACTATGTTTCAGAATGGTGGCGGCATAGGGAATTTGTCATTCAGAATCAGGTTCAGAAT